GCGTTGAGGACCCTTCAGGGTCTTGTTGTCCAGACACCTTCCTTTCTCTGCCGCGCTAGTTAACGTTACCCGTGATGAATGAATTGATGTGCTTTCCCCCAGCTATCTAGATGGGGGAAAAAAAGCCCGAGGTCGAGCAAGCGCCAACACATCACCATCATCACACCCACGTCCATACATACACTACCCACACCCACGCACACAAGGCCCCCGCCCCCCACACCGAGAGATATCCCCGAACACCCCGACCTCGCCGAACATACCCCGGGTACCGGGCCCTTGAATCCTTCTTCTCATTTTACCCACCGACCTACCTAACTACTAGTATACTAGTAGTCCACACATATGAGCAGTGCAGGCGGGCTAACCCCTGAGAGGAGGAGGTTCTAGTGTGGGCTTGATCAGGTCAGATAAACTGTCCGGACCCCCAGCTAATATTGGATGTGGGATGTTTACGGCGTTGGGGGGGTCATGAGATATCACGAAGTTCTGGGGTTATGTCCTCACCTCCCCCGCGTTTTGCCCCGTCTAAAAGTTTTTCGTGTTGTGTGTCGTGTGATGAAGTTACCAGATTAACTTCCCCGGTTTGCTTTCTCACCTCACCCACAACCTGCTGGCTGCTTGTTATCTCCGTTGCGCTGGTAATCTCCTAGTTCGTCACCAAGATTCGCGATCAACATGTGTTAATCTCTCTCAACACCAACCAAAGTAAAAAAAAAAAGAGAAGTACGAAGTACCCAATCACTTGGCAACTTGAGAACTCCGACGTAATTCCACCATTGGCTAGGTATTCAACAAATCAGCGTCTAGCAAAATCCCAAATCGGTGTCTCACTTCGCTGTCTTTGTGGCCTCGACGAGACAGACCATCATCTGGCATGCGGCAGGCGGTCATCACCCAAACTTGGCCTGAGTTACTCCGCAACGCAAAACAGAAAAAAAAAAAAAGACAACGAAAAACAGCCCAGCCCCCTGTCTGCGTACTATGTATTGGCACGCTGAGTCAGGTCCTGCCGGAGAGGCGGAGTTATTCCGTGGCCGGACTTTACAGGAGGTGAATAACCAAAACCAAGCCTTGTCTTTTTTATATTTCCTTCCCATTCGGTATTTTACGGTGTGAGTGGTTAGCCCTGCGGTTGACCGCGCTTTCGGGTCGTACAAGTCAAAATGCTATTGGTCTACTTAACTACTATCCATGTATTCATGTCTGAGATCGTATTCGGATGTAAACCGGATTGCTTTCGTTTGCTGGCTGGGCCGATCGGTTGAGGGTCAACGGACGGCCCGGGTTGGGGGATAACTGGGGTTTGCCGAAGCCGTACTTGCCCTTTTTTTCCTTGCTCGGCCCGGTAGGGTGCGAGGACTTGATGATGAAGCGGTAAGTATAACAAGGCAATCATAATGCGCTGGCATCTCGGGGGAATTAGTAAGTCTGCGGGCAAAACCAACTCACTTTCTCCCGGGCTTTGCTGAGCATTTACCGAATACAGTACCGAGTCCCCGACTTTCTGTTGTCAGTAGTGTACTATGTCGTCAGTCCCCGCTTACCTCATCTCGGGCTATGAGATCGATAACTCCAGCCGCGCGGGCCCTCCTCCATGACTGCAGGACTGGAGGTGACTAGGTGGAAGGGGAGAGTATCCGCTTCCGCTGCACTCACCTCGGATCCAAAGACGGAACAAAGCCGGAGCAGACAGCGGAGCGGGTGCCATGCGGTGGGTTTCTTTCTTACTCCACTCTACACTCTACTTGTCTCTCTGTGTGCATGACGGGTTGGTCAGGTGCTCTCACATCTAAGCTTGGCCTTGCAGGAGACAGGTATGGAGTGGCCGCAGTATGGCCGCAGGTCTATTGGGGTGAGGTGGGGTGAACGTGAGGCTATTCACCCACACAGTAGGTATGTCGAGAGTGTTAGGTGGTGTTTGTTGAGGGAGTTGGAAATGTAGGTTGGTGAGTTGATGTCATGAGTTGACAGAGCCAATAGGGAGGAGTGCACGGGTGAGGAATGTGATAGGATATGTAGGCGGGTGTGCATAGTTGCTCCTGGTTCTCGGTTCTATTGTTTTTTTCCGGGAGGCAAACTAGTCATGTGCGTCCCGTGCCGCCTTACATTGGGCCGGGAAACGTCGGGAGGGCGGTTTGTAAAAATACATCTGATACGTTTGACGTCGCTTTGGTATATTGACCTTGGTACTCCCGCGGGGGCTGTGTGATAGTAAAGGCGAAGTGTTGGCAAGAAAGGCGCCGGATGCCGGAAAGATTGCCTATCAAAGGTGTTTGTCGGCCACTATATCTTGTCTAGGGACAGACGGCGGGGGGTAACGTATCATTGAGTAGACGCCATAACGTCCTAGATGCTGTCATTCTGAGAATTGCTGGTAGTATTGTAGTGCTATCGCGGGGCACAACGCCAGGAACCTTGAGAATGAAGTTAACTTTGAGTATTGGCCCGCCGGATAAGCTTCTACTTTTACATTAGTATACGGAAAGACGCCCCGAAACGCTACTTTCGGGCGACAATCAATGTAGCAGTTTACTAAAGCTTAACGGGGGTGAAAGCGCCGAAAGTCAAGCCTCGTGTGCTGCAGGAGTTTCTTCGCTGGTGAAGAACCTAGTCTGAGTTGCTGGGTCTCGTCAACCTTACCCGAGAACTCGAGGCCATTCATTATCTGTTTAAGTTCAAGTTGGGTTGTTACGGCCACCACGTATGATCCAAACACCGATGCCGGACTCGGGATTAAACTGACCGTCGGGCTACCCCATATCTGTCATAGCTGCACTCCAGATGTGTGGAAGCTATAGGTGACCATATTGCTAAAACCCCAGCCTGGGTGCCTGAGGAGGAACGGACACCCGTGTATCGTACCATATCTCATGGCAAAACTCGATAGAATAATAGCAACGGATAGTATCAGTGCGAAAGTGACAAACGAGAGGCTCTTCCTCCCGACACAAGGCCGTGTCTCTGGGGCTCTCATGGATTCCGAAGCCAACTGAACCACCTTGGTAGTTGACCAGGCTTTTCACGCATAAAGGTCAAGGCTAAACGGCAATAACAGACGCAGCTCGACACATCATTTGTAATTAAGGCGCCTAACCACACCGCATCGTACCCCCAGCGCGGCAATAACCTGAAGGACTCCAAGAGCATGAAGAGTCTACACCTGGTTATGAGCGAAGTAAGGTAGTATATATTTACCTGCAAAGTAGATGAGCGGATGAGGACTCCAAACCCACCGCCCTACCGGCGTAGAAAGATACGACACTGATGACTCAGACATTTTTATGAGGAGCCTTTGGTCAAGGTTCTTTTGTTCGAATCCTGTTAATTTTGCTCGTTTTTCTCTTTTCCCATTTTGAAATCGTTACCAGGTTGGAGATATTTTCATGATAAAGTAGTTGTAATTATGAAGGAAATCGTGGATCGACGGATGATATTTCCGTACCAAATTGAAATATTAAGAGGCTTAAAACTCAGACTGGGGGAATTGGGAGGAAGAGAGGGTATATATAGAAGGTCCGCAGTACCAGTCTCCAACAACAAAGCAATCACGAGGATCGCACCTGCCGGTAGCGTAGTGGTTAAGCTGTGTACCTTGTCGGTCCCCCCCCCCCCCAGGGTGAAATGGGTCCCCTGGGCAGTGTGGCTGACCACAGCTCTCTTTTTCGAGTCCTGTTTGCACTTTTTTATGTTTTTGGCTTTTTTTGGGGGGGGAGAGGGGAGGTCTTTCACTTCGTTCTTTCCCTCCCCTACGCCATGGGGTTAACCAACCACCCCGACCCATATTCGTATACCTTACAGTACCTACTCAACCAAACACGGCACATCCACTTGCTCTATCTTTCTATCTAACTTTACCAACTACAATTCACGTACCTCTGCTGCTGATTTCCATCCAATTCCCAAACAGCCGCCATCCCATTCCACTCACCAGACCCAACGGCAATACGATATAAAACAACAGACAGACTGAAGAAGGGAAAACCAAACACCATATCCCATCCAACTAACGAACCGATTCAAAACAAATACCAATCCCCAACCCCCAACCGCCCAAGACCCTATGATCCCTCTCGCCCTCTTTGCCATACCCTGTTCTGCTTCTTTCCCCAACCCGGACAGAACTTACCACACCGGACCGCTCTATACTATACTACCCCATCTTTTCCCCCGTCTCGTCCATGTATACCTTTTGGTCCGCGGCCAGCACCATGCCCCAATATCCACGACCCCGTAACAGTAGTCATAGTACATACAGTACAAGCATGACCCCCCTTAACGCCTTCTTGTTCATTGTGCTCATCCCTTATTTCCATCATCCATAACACCCACCACATAATGCTGAATCTCCGCGAGTGAGTGGGCTCGGGATTGGTAAACGCGCAAATACACATATACAACTGATCTCACACTGGAGGACACCGCGGCCCTACACAGACGAAAAACGCTAGAGAGATATATGCTTTTGCTTTATTGATCTTCATCCCATATCCCACCACCCCCCTCCTAACTAGCCAATCTGCCAGCTAGCCATCCCAACCAAGCCCAAAAGACTCGACTGTGCGCTGGTCCATTGTAAGAAACGCCACAAACAGCATGACAGCTGGGAGGTCCCATTTTTAAGGAACAAACCGAACCAAAAGCTCAAGGAGCTCGTACCCAAAAAGTACGGTGGGAAACTAACAAAGGAGATGAGACCCGCACTAAGAGATATAACCACCTGGGAGTGGCCACCGGAGTATGAAACGGTCGCCACCAAAGTAAAAAAAGGACGGGGTTAACCGCTCGCCGACATATAACCAAAAGAAGTCGCCCCTGAACCAAAAAAAGAGTAGCTCTCTGGGCTCGTCATCACGTCACATTGCCAAAAAATAAAGATCCCTCCCCAGTGCCGAACCCTAAACCTAACCAAAAATAAACAAACCAAAACGCTCTAAACATCGGCCAAATATATGCCATAGAAAAAATTCAAAAATATACCGCGAACATCAACACTCCTTTTATGAAGTAGCGTGTTCATCCCCAAACGGACTCCTCCCCCTCCCTCGGGCGGGAATCGTGGAGTCTCTTTGTGACGCCCTTCTCGTGGCCTCCTCGATGACGGCGCTTAGGCTGGTCGAGCTCTGGTTGGCCGACTTGGGCGGGTCATTGAACGGGCTCTGTTCGGTGGCAGGCGAGTCCACGATCAAGGTTGGCGCGGAGGAGTCGCGGAGGGATCCCGATGCCGCAGGTGAGATATCGGAGTCCGAGTCGGGGTTTGACCTCGGTGGCCGTTGGGCATTGACCTTCTTCACGCTTCCGACACGGACAACCATGGCACGAGCCGGAGTCGCAGTGGCGGTACTGGCGTTGTTGAGGAAGGTCGAGCCGACGCTGAAGGTGCTGTTCGCGGGGCTCGGGGGGCGCGGCATCAGGTTGTATTTGTTGTAATCGACCGCCGGAACGGGTGGCGTGTGGCTCTCGGTCGAGTTGGCAGAGTGAGCGGACCTCACGCTGACCATGGCCGGTTTGGCCCGCATACCTGTCTGGGCCGGGGCCACGACAACAGCGCTCTTGCCGTAGATAGTGGATGCCACGCTGGACCGGGGTGCATACGAAGTACGGGCGAAGGAGGTGCGGTCGGAATACCCGGACATGCCGGAGTAGGTCGAGTCACGCAGGTCAGCGGGCATGAAGAAATGCTGGTCCTCGGTGTTCGCGGGGCTGCCGGCCTGCGAGACGGCGGACGGAATGGGCGGGACAGGAGGGACGAGGGCGGTCGGGGAGGCATTCGCTCGGTTGGTGACGCCGGGGATATATGCGATTTGGATGATGTTGGAGGCGCGGGTGAGGACGGTCGATGCGATGGAGTGGGTGGTGTGTGTCGAGGCTCGGTGGTTTCGTCGTTGCGCAAATGTCTTCTCGCCCTCCAACCCTTGCTCCTGAGCATCCTCCCACGGTTCCACGATCGTTGGTTGCCTGCGCGTCCTCACGCAGAATCTCCATACCAAGTATGTGATGACGGCCAGCGCCACGAGGCCACCCACCACACCGCCAGCAATTGCCCCAACGTTCGTTCCGCCACCGCCATCGCCGCCGTCCCCGCCAGTGTTGCTCTGTGGAGGCGGATCGACGGGAACACAGGTTGCGCGGGGGCATTCATCGCAACCCATGGGGTAAATAAACTGGCACTCGGTTACACCCGCCTCGCAATGCGGGCAAATGAGTTGTTTCGACGTATCGCACTCCACACATCCCCTCTTCAAGAGGCCAAGCCCGTCTGTAATCATGTTAGCACCACCACGTCAACCCCAAAATTGCATGCATCCTCGGTTGTAGCCCGGGTTGTCTTACCATGGGCTGACTGGAGTGTCGCAGTCATGACGCCGGTAGGCTTTGTTGTCGCGAAGCTGTAGTAGGTTTGAAGATGCAAGCTGCGTTGTGTTGTCGGTTCAAAAGTTGTCGATCGGCGGGACGGGCTGTGTTTGAAGCCTGGACCACTGGCTTGTGTCGATCACTCGACGTAATGCCGGCGTTAACAGGGCCCCTGAAAAAGCAAGAGCGTGTCGACCGATCGGACGATTTCAAGATTCGAGGTTCGTGAAGCTTTTTTGAGGCGCGAGAAAAAGGCGAGCAGAGGTTGATATCGGTGGAATTGAGCGCGGTCGAAGAGGAGAAAGAAGGGACGCAACGTTTCAAGGAGTTGGAGTCGACGGGGGAGGACCTTCAATGGGTGTCCGAGAAACGAGTGACTTTGGGGGGCTAACTCAAAAGGAATGAAACGCCCAGGGATGATGGGGTTATTGTCCCAAAAATCCAGCAATAAAAGGGTGAAAAAAAAAGTCGAAATGAACAAGAAATAAAAATTCACTGCAGGCTCATCAAATTGTCCACTCCAATGGCCGGGGCCGATCGTCGTCGAGGTTCGTGATCGAGCTTTGACGCTGACAATAGTGAGAGTTGAGTGAGCGTCTGGATGCTGCTGGTGAGAGGTGAGATGCGGGAGCGGCGGATGGGGAATGTCGACCAACTTTGAGAAAGAGAAAGGCCGCGGCCCTGGCTGGGGCTGGATCTCCGCCCGGCCCCAATTTGCGGAAGGGGCCAGTCAGAAGGGCCAGTCAGGGCGGTGGAAGGGGGGCTCCACTGCCGTATTGGCGAAACATGTTGGAGGGCCAAGGTTTGCTCCCATTCGCTTGATCACCGGAGCCTGGCGTCCCTGGAATTCCCTTTGTGGCACGGCTGGGCCCAGCACCTGCCAATTTCCCCTCCTCTTGACCTGTTCTTACGAATCCCACCTCGCAATCTGCCAATCGCCATGCGTGCTGTCGACGACATGTGAGCCTTCTTAATGAATTGGCTTTGTCTGTTGTCGAGACGATCATCTTCAACATTGATGTAAAACTATCGGGAAACGCTCTTGATTTCTCTTGTTTTTTTATCCTTCATACTCGATTTCCGGTTTTACCGCCCGTGCCCCGCATGAATTCATTCCGGCACACACCTGCAGTGGATGGTTGGAGTCGTTATGTGTGGAAACAACCTGGAAGCGCCCCCAACGGGGAATATGCCGCCAGCCGCAACGTAAGCTCGCCGCAGCACACAAAGCCCGCAAACCGTCGGGCCAGACGTCCAAACGAACACCCACGCCCTCCTTCACACGTGTCGGCGGCCGATGGAATGAGTGCGTCCTGCATCGTGCCGTTCGCTGGTCTTGAACGGTCCACCTCTTGAACAGCGCGTTTCCCGATACTTCGTACAACCTATCGATATTTACATTACATCCTCCGGTGACTGGAGGAGTTTCCATTCTTTCATGCGTAAAAACACGGGAACCGGGATCATAATGTAGGCTTCAAGACCTGAGTCGTGCTTCCCTGTTCCTGATCTGGTCCCAACTTTCCCCTCCCCATCTGATCTGCAGATCTCAGGTGGGATCAACAAGGCACCGATGGCCCTCTGTGCCCGCTTGGCGCCGATGGTTTGTTGTTTCTTGTTGTATTTATGGACCTGGGGCTCGCTGGCACAGCGCAGACCGTTCTCGACTTCGCGACTGAGAATGTGAGCTTACACAGGGCACGGCAGGGCTGAACCTTGCCAAGGTGGCACAATAACCGGCCAGCTTGGAGCCGTTGCGTTCCACGTTCCACGGCAAACTCACCGCTAGGTTATTAATGGACAGGGAATAACTCACGTTTGCTACACTACCTACTCTCGGGGGCGGGGCATATGAGACTCTTCTAAACGGCCGAAGCAGGTCTTTTCACGCACACTCTCTGGCCGTGTCTTGATATCTCGGATCTACGCCCGGCACTTCTCCCCGTGATGCCCTACCTACCTACACTAGGTCCAACCCAGCTTGCGAAGACGCCTGGATGAGTTACACGGATATCTCGAAACATTGAGCTGTCTGTGCCAAGCCAAACCCCGCCAAATTGTTCTAGAAACAAGGCAAAGCAGGGCAAAATCACAAACTGCCAAGGGCCTCCACAGTACTTTACATAGTACAACCCGTCCCGAAGGATGCCCTTTGATATATTGACCAACTACCCGTTACATATTGCTTAGTCGTACCCGTGCGGGTGAGCTGGTGTGACGCGGCTTAGGGAACAAAAACAAGGCGAGGGACTCATAACGGTTTTATTAGCCGGGTCCAGGAGACATACTTGTACCATCGGGCCCTGCATTTCGGCTTGGTGATTAAACACCACACGTAAGGAAGCTGGTCCGGTTGCTGCGAGCCGGGCGTTAATTAATAACACTAATAACATTAAGTATTGCGTCCTTCGAAGCTGCGGGATGACGTCGATGTGTATGAGCTTCTTTTGGATAAAGGGACATTTGGACTGAGGGGAGGATTATTGTAAACGGCTCCTCAGAACGAACAAGATCTTTATTACGTGGTTGCGAGAGACGCTCTACGGGCTACTCTGGTATGTTCTTGGCTCTAAAGACGGGGCGGTGGCTGAGGAGAATAACGCTCCCACCTCCCCAGCCTCACTCGCTCGCACGATATGGCTCCCGTCCATTCTCCCGTCAGCGACATATAAAAGACATAAAAAGCATACCCACCCCCCTTCCTCGGACTCCCGATTTCTCGTCGATAGGACAAGTGGACAAATCTCGAGGATGAGGCTGTCTAAAGCAGCAGCAATTATTTCTATTCTCACGTAACCCGGGTCCCGCATGCCCCGATGCGGCCCAGCATCAGCAAAGCAATTGGGGCGTGGCTGAGAAACGAGAGTTCGCTATTCCGTATGCCGGACTGGATGATACGAAATTCTGTATGTAATCTACACCGCGTAATGATAGACCTTGTTGCCATCATTTGGCGGCCGGCGGTTGGGAGGGAAAAACGGAGACGGCTTTGTTGTTCATGCTGTTGGTGGTGCTGGTGCCGGCGGAAGAAATCAATATTGCGACTGTTGGTGCGCTCTCCCCTTTACCTTGCAGTTTGCGGCTTGCATCTGCAGTCTGCGCGTGCTGTGAGGTTTGCTTGCTTGCTTTGCCCGCGGCTTCGTGCCCAATGCCTGCTTGAGGATTGATCACTGGAGCGGCAGAACACAGTGCTAGCCTTTCCTCAACATCATTGAAACTGGGAGCTGCAACAACCTCACTTACTGTAGACAACGCGTCAGAGCCTTGTCCCTTTTGCCAATATATATCCTCCCTCCCGAACCCGGACGAGACCTTCCTCGCCCTGGTCGTTCATCTTTCCAGAACTAACCGCATACTTCCGCCTGCACCGCAACCCTTCTCTCGCTTCCCCCCTGGTCAACCGCGCGGATACGATTGGGACGATGCCCGGCGCGAGCAGCGTCTCGCTGGCGCCCAGAATATGCAGTTTGGATTTGAAGAACCAGTAGACGGAGAGAATCTCGCAGCCTCGTGGGTTGAGGAAGCGGCAGACAGAAGAGTCTGGCCGTGCAAGGTAGCATCCATTCTTCTGCCCCCCCTCCATGTTGTTTGCTATCGCCTACACGTACATGTGTACCATAGTATCTTTCGTCTCGCGAAGAAGAGAATGATATTGTTGCTGGACCCTACCTTTCGCGGCTTGCGTTTGCGAGTGGATCGGCTTGCTGGGGTCAAGCATTGGCGCGTCCGCGCGTTTGTCGCTTTGACTGGCGGTTGATTGGGGCTCAGCTTCGCAGGGCGGCGTCAACATGTTCGTGACGGGCGTCTGGAAGCCCTCCACCTAGACGAATAGGTCTTGTAGAAATGAGGTGGCGCATGAATGTGGAACTGAAAATTTTGAGGAGTCAAGCAGACCTTCGAGATGCCGCTGACTGTTCTCTTGTTGTTGTTGATTCCTCATTGAATTGTTCCTCGCCGGAGGGAAAGAGATGGTGACCCTAGGTCTTGGCGCTGTTCTATTTTTGGCTGGTCTGTGATTTTTCCCACTTTGGGGGAACCCACTTTTTCGGTTCTCGTAAAATCGAAAACCGGGGGTTCCCATTCTCGGGAATTGGGAAGAAGAAACAGGAAAAGAAAGGAGGTGATGCCTGGAAGTTAACTCAACGTTGCATACATACACACATAAAAAAGTTCTCGTATTACTGAATTCTTTTGTGGCCACCGGGTGCTCAAAGCTTAGCTATATGGGAACGAGTTAATGCGATGGGAAGGACCGAAAATTCCTGTTTTCTTTTCTGTGCGTCTGGCTTGCCGTCGCAGTGTGGCGAAATTTTTGATGGGAAAAAACGGGATGCCACCTCAGTGCCGGCCTCGCTGCCCACGCGGGGAGGTCGCAATGCCGTGGGCTGGGCCCCTGAGGGTGATCGTGATGTCAAGGCGTCATCAATTGTCTTGCAAAGGGTGGAGCGAAAACTTGTCTCTCATAATCGAAAATCGAAATGCGAGGCTTCGAGTAAATAACGAGTGGAAACTCATAACTCGTGTATTGGTAGCTCACCTCATTTTTAAGAAAGCCTTGTGAACGAGTACGGAAGGAGCAGCTCTGGCCGTTTGAGGGGTTGTCGCACAAAACCGGCATGTTCCTGGGGCACTCCGATGGAGCCAACCCGCTGCGACCTGACAGCCAAACAGCCTCAGGTAGATAAATGGATGACAGTGGATGCTGTTTCAGGACTTTAAAGGCCGAGATCGAATGAAACCTCCCTTTATTGCACCGTCGGCTGGCCCTTCTGTTTCTTGGGTACGAAACTCCTGCGGCTTGTGAACAGCGCTTTACCGTCGGCTCAGAGAGAAGTGGTTCGTTGGGCTGGCAGACGCCAAATCGAAAAAAAAGACGGTGCGGTGATTTGCCGAATGGCGTGCATGAGAGGCGAAGCGCACGGTGTCCGTTGAGACCCTGCGTTGCACACGCACAACCCTGGACCCTAAACCTGGAGAAAAAGTTGGTGGTTGACGGAGGAGGGGAACCTTCAGGGTTCAAAGAGCCCCGGGCTGAACTGTGTAGTTATTTCGACAGAATTTGCGGAATGAAGAGACAGCCCAACAGCGGCCCCTTTTGCATAATAAATAGTTGCTGGTGGTTGATTTAGCGGAAACCGTGAAACACTCCTGAAAAGAAGAAACGATCCGTCTGGGGAGTCGGGTGCGCAATGCTTGGCGTTCAGGGGCGACCTCCGGGACTGGCAGACCTCTGGTTCTGAGAGACGGGCCGGAAAGCAATGCCAGCGCCAGGCAGCCCAATGCGTGGAACCGGATGCACTGAGTGCCCGAGTTGCGGGCTTGAAGTCCGAGAGGGTTGTTCTGAGCCACTCGCACTCACAGCCATCCCTGGGAGAGAGAAGGTGGGGGAACTGGAGGTGAGGTGAGAAGCAGCGAGGCAGCGCAGCGCAGCGGGGTGGAGCCTTGATCTGGAATCCCTGTGCGCTCAGCCACTGGAGGCCCTTGCTTCGCCAACCTTCAGTTCATAATCCAGACGGTCCTCTCCTGAGCTTTCTGAAACCAGGGTTTTTGGGAGCGGAAGTTGAATTTCCTCGTCGTTGCTGACTTTTTTGTTGGCGTCTCCTTTCTTATCCTCCCGCTTTCTTCCCTTTCTTCGGCTTTTGCTCAAGAACCATCCGGTTGTTTTGGACAGGCGATTCCATCGGGACTGTTGCAGGTCTTCCTGGCCCATCCTCCTGTGACCATCAACCCGGAACGCCGCCCTGCGAGTTGCAACCGCTGCTTGTGCCGCATGACACCAGTTGGCCTGGAATTGGGTACCACAGCAGCACACCTCACCAAGGAAAAAAAACAACAACTGGGCTTGCTGCACCGGCAACGCTTGCCCAGCTGACCCGACTTTTCTCGTCCACAGCTCCTGCTTTTTGCTCGCACCATCGAACTGCAAGCAACGCTCCCCGAACCCGACCTGAGCTTGATCTCGACGGTGCTTCACGCCGCTTTGAAGCAGCCTGGGCGACCCCGCTGTTTTTTTCTTGGGCTGCCTTTCGGTGCATCGTCATCATCGGCATTAGCATCATCACGACGACCACCACCATCATTGCTATCACCGCCGATTTGCTCCACTGACCGACAACCCTCGCCCCGCAGCGAGTAGTTAACAATCATGGCTTACCACGGCCGGGGAGATGGCGGCTACGAGGGTCATCCCATGCAGGATCTCCCATCACACCACGGTCAGGTAAGGTTTTCTCTGTCCTGGATATGGACGCCTTTCAGGTGGTTTTGGGGCATTCTCCCAGATTGGGCTGGAATATGGACAGCACACAGCGGGCGACGGACGCTGGACGATGGACGGCGGATGATAAAAAAAAATGAAAATAGACGAATGCTGACACCGCTTTTTCTTTCTGTAGCAAGACGAGGAACAAGGGGCCGCGCTGCTCAACCAAAACCAAATCTACGACCAGGACCGCCTGGGCGCCCATACTCCTCCAGTCCGCCCGGTGTCGGCATACAGCCTGACCGAGTCGTACGCTCCGAATGCCCAAACAACCCGCGTCGGTGTTACCCCGACCCCGCCCCCCGGGGGCAACACAGAATATGGCGGTGCTCCTGGCCAGTACCAGCCGCAATACTCCGCCGACCCGTCCTACCGCATGTCCTCTGTCGACACGGACGAGAGCTGGGTACGTCGCCAACAGCCCAACGTCGCGCCCACCGGCGGCCTCAAGCGCTATGCCACGAGGAAGGTCAAGCTCGTCCAGGGCTCCGTCCTGAGCATCGACTACCCGGTGCCCAGTGCCATCCGCAATGCCGTCCAGCCCCGCTACCGCGACGAGGAGGGCAACAACGAGGAGTTCCTTAAGATGCGCTACACGGCCGCTACATGTGATCCCAACGACTTCACCCTTAAGAACGGTTACGACCTGCGTCCTCGCATGTACAACCGCCACACCGAGCTGCTCATTGCCATCACGTACTACAACGAAGACAAGGTCCTGCTCTCGCGTACGCTGCACGGTGTGATGCAGAACATCCGTGACATTGTCAACCTTAAGAAGTCGTCTTTCTGGAACCGTGGTGGCCCCGCATGGCAAAAGATTGTCGTCTGCCTCGTCTTTGATGGTATCGAGAAAGTGGACAAGAACGTGCTCGATGTCCTAGCCACCATCGGTGTGTATCAGGACGGCGTGGTGAAGAAGGACGTCGACGGCAACCAAACCGTTGCCCACATCTTCGAGTACACCACCCAGTTGTCGGTCACGCCAAACCAGCAGCTCATCCGGCCGGTCGACGACGGGCCCAACACCCTGCCCCCCGTTCAATTCATCTTTTGCTTGAAGCAGGCCAACAGCAAGAAGATTAACTCGCATCGTTGGCTGTTCAATGCGTTTGGCCGCATCCTTAACCCCGAAGTGTGCATCCTTCTGGATGCCGGTACCAAGCCGAGTCCCAAGTCCCTGCTCGCCCTCTGGGAAGGCTTCTACAACGACAAAGATCTCGGCGGTGCTTGCGGTGAGATCCATGCAATGTTAGGCAAGAACGGCAAGAAATTGATCAATCCGCTGGTGGCTGTGCAGAATTTTGAGTACAAGATCTCCAATATTCTGGACAAGCCGCTGGAGAGCGCGTTCGGGTACGTTAGTGTGTTGCCCGGCGCTTTCTCGGCATACCGTTTCCGCGCGATTATGGGTCGCCCGCTAGAACAGTATTTCCACGGTGACCACACACTGTCTAAGCTGCTGGGCAAGAAGGGTATCGAGGGCATGAACATTTTCAAGAAGAACATGTTTTTGGCCGAGGATCGTATCCTGTGTTTCGAGCTGGTCGCCAAGGCCGGCCAAAAGTGGCATCTGAGCTACATCAAGGCTGCCAAGGGCGAAACCGATGTGCCGGAAGGCGCGCCCGAGTTCATCAGCCAGCGTCGTCGTTGGCTCAACGGTTCGTTCGCCGCCAGTTTGTACTCGCTCATGCATTTCGGGCGCATGTACAAGAGCGGGCACAACATCTTGCGCATGTTCTTCTTCCACATCCAGCTCCTCTACAACATCCTCAACGTCATCTTCACCTGGTTCTCGCTCTCTTCGTACTGGCTCACCACCACGGTCATCATGGACCTCGTCGGCACCCCGGTTCCAGCTTCGAATAGCGCTTCGGAGCACCACGCCTGGCCGTTTGGTGACTCCGCGACGCCCTTCATCAACGCCGTGCTCCAGTACATCTATCTGGCGTTTGTCATCTTGCAGTTCATCCTGGCCCTGGGTAACCGGCCAAAGGGCTCCAAGTGGACGTACATCACCTCGTATATTGTCTTTGCCATCATCCAGGCGTACATCCTCGTGCTGTCGGTGTACCTCGTTGCGCAGGCGTTTGCGACGCCGCTGAGCGAGCAGATCCAACTTGATACGGCGCAGAACGCTCTGAACTCATTGTTTGGCGGCACAGGCGCGGCCGGTGTCATCTTGGTTGCGCTCATCACCATCTACGGTCTCTACTTCCTCGCGTCTTTCATGTACCTTGACCCGTGGCACATGTTCCACTCGTTCCCGTACTACATGCTGCTCATGTCCACCTACATCAACATCCTGATGGTGTACGCCTTCAACAACTGGCACGACGTGTCGTGGGGTACCAAGGGTTCGGACAAGAACGAGGCGCTGCCGTCTGCGCAGGTCAGCAAGGGCGAGAAGGACGAGGTGGTGGTGGAGGAAATCGAGAAGCCCCAGGAGGATATCGATCAGATGTTTGAGCAGACGGTGCGCCGCGCGCTCGCGCCGTTCAAGGAGGACGAGAAGCCGGAGCCCAAGGATCTCGAGGACTCGTACAAGTCTTTCCGTACCATGCTTGTCGTCTCGTGGCTCTTCTCGAACTGCCTGCTTGCGGTCGTTATTACTAGTGACAACTTCAACTCGTTTGGTATCGGGGTAAGTCATCGTCGATCTAGCTTTTATCTTCCCACTCTTCAACCCAGAATACTAACTTGTCGTGTTTCTTAGCAAACCGCCACGGCACGTACGGCTTGGTTCTTCAAGTTCCTGCTCTTCGCCACCGCCGGTCTCTCGCTCGTCCGTTTCATCGGTTTCTTGTGGTTCCTTGGCCGCACCGGTATCATGTGCTGCTTCGCTCGTCGCTAAGCGGCGGCAGCAACTCCACAAACTGCGGACCGACACCATGGAACGGTACCTCATCCATCGGACGGTTCTCGATCTATCTATCTAGTTCGACATGTCGAACGAAACAGCACACAGGCAGACGAGAAAAAAAAGAGAAAACATTTGTGGTATTTCTGATCTATGCGCATACTAGTTTGGATTTTCCCACTAACTTTTTGATGTTTGCTCTTTTTTTGGCTCCTTGTCACAATATTTTGGCTGTTGGATATGTTTGTTTGTGTGTATGTGCAAATTTGTTATTGAAGTTGAATATTGGAAGCTGGAGTAGAGTAGGGAAGGGAGAGCGAAGAGCGAGGGGGAAACGGGAGATGGGAGAGGGACATGAAAAAAACATTCCGGGATTTATCTATCTAGTGAATTGGGCGTGGCGTTGTCGTTTTTGATCCAGATCTGGGTCTGGGGTCTCTGTCTGTTACCTCTCCAAATGAGGCAATAGACCGAGAGTTCTAGAATCGGATCTAGGGATTTTGTCGTCGTTGTTGTTTGGCTTTCTTTTGGCTTGGTCTGGTGGGAAGAGGGTGTTGTTGCGCTGCGCGTATTTTATCTAGATGGCCTGGTGTGATATGGGTGCTTTTTTAGGGGGTTTTAGTAATGAGAAACCACTCTTAATTTGGCCGTTTGTGTTTTGGCTGGGTCGTGAGTGTTGAGTGTAGATGTGGTTTGTGGTGTCGGCTGTGGTATCCTACTGTGCAGTGTCTAAACGGCCCAACGCCATGATTTACTTTTTTTCGTCTTTTTTCACTTTCTGGACTTATTCTTTCTCTCTTCTTTCACTTCTTTTGATTTGTTCTTTCTTGTCTTCTTTCACTTTTTTAATTATTCTTTTTGGTCTTTTTTCACTTTTGTAGAAAAGTAAGTTATCCAAGGTCTGCCACTTTTTTTGGCCGGCCCCACTGCTGGGACTCGCACCAATAAACCGGCCCCTGGGACTCTGGTCGCTCCTCCCCCAGATCTTGGCAACGGTTTCCCGGGACTGCACTGGAAGATGCCTCGGCTCGGCTTCCGGGTTCCAGAGTCGTTCGTCAAACCCGGAGCCCGGATACAGTGGGTTGTTCACCTCACAACCATCAACAGAGAAACGGTGAAATTTGAATCCTATCACGTCGGACTGTTGGATTGAAGATTACTGATTGTATTCATTGAGACAACCGTCTCCAATCTGAACAAAACGCGGCGAAAACACACACTCACTGTTTTCTTGAATTCATCCCCAAAATGGATATCCAGTCTCTCTTCTCTGTCAAGGTACTGTACCCCCCCCTTTTCACACCAATCCCCCTACTTACAGGCCCGAGTCTAACACTCCCCCAGGACAAAGTCGTCCTCGTCACCGGCGGCGCCAAAGGCGTCGGCCGCATGATCTCAGAAGCCTTCATCGCCAACGGCGCCAAAGTCTACATCTCCTCGCGCGACGCAGCGGCCTGCGAATCCGCCTGCGCCGAGCTCAACTCAACCTCAAACACCAACCGCGGCACCGCCATCCCCCTCCCCGCCGACCTCTCCTCCCTCCCGGAATGCCAACGCCTCGCCACCGATCTCGCCGCCCGCGAATCCGCCCTGCACGTCCTCATCCACAACTCCGGCGCCACCTGGGGCACCACCTACGACACCTACCCCGACTCCGCCTGGTCCAAGCTTTTGACTCTTAACCTCCAGCGTGTATTCACCCTCACCCAGCTCCTCACCCCACTCCTCGAAGCCGCCGCCGCATCCGCCAAACCCCCCGGCGCCGACAGCGACGCCCCATCCCCGGACCCCGCCCGCGTAATCAACATCGGCAGCATCGACGGCCTACGCGTCCCCCAACTTCCCACCTTCGCCTACAGCGCCAGCAAAGCAGCGCTGCACCACCTCTCGCGGCACTTAGCCGTGGAGCTAGGGCCGCGGGGCATAACGAGCAACACGCTTGCGTGTGGACCGTTCCCGAGTAAGATGATGGCTGCGACGCTGAGGGAGTTTGGCGAGGAGATTCGGGCGGTGAATCCGTTGGGACGGATTGGTACGCCGGGGGATGTGGGCGGGGCGTGTTTGTTTTTGGCGAGTCGGGCGGGGGCGTGGGTGAATGGGGCTACGGTTGCGTTGGATGGGGGGGTTTCGTTGATGGCGAAGATTTAAGGGGAGTTTTTACTTACTATGTATTTTATTCTTTTTTTTGGGAGGGGTGGTAGGGGGAGTGAATGAAAGGGATGAAACGGATTGTGCAGCTAAGGCATGGAAGGGATAGGTAGACTATTTGGAATGCTTGCTTTCTGGATTGCCGCCAGGGCGTACTGTTTGCCCGTGCACCCGTCTGTCTGTTTGTCTGTATATCGTATATCTGACCACGAGACCTATTATCCGGATCTGAACCCTCGGAAGCACCCACTAGTCCACCAAGTCTATGCCCTCGGCATGTGAAAAAGGAATGTGTGAAGAAAAAAAGAGAGAGTGTGTAAAACCTCCCGAATGAAATGAGATTGGATATAACCCTATGTGATGAACAGCCCCCCAGATCAATAGTAACCTCTTCCTACCCGTATCCGACCCTGTAAACCATGACGAAACTTGAAAACTCCAAATGCCAACCCGTGATGTCCTAACCCATACACCATACGCCAGTCCCGAAAAAGTAAATCAACGAACCCAGAAACCCAGGTAAAACCCCAAAGTACCCCCCGCCCCAGAGTCGAAACCCGCCCATCAAATGCTCCCGGAAATCCCATGCTTGGATCGTAGTGTGAAAAAGTAAACCGCCGCCCATACCGTCGCAACCTGCCTTCTTCCCTCTTTGCCAAATCCCTTCTGCTTCCCCATTACCCAGTTGCGCTCAAATTGAAGCGAGTAGGTTCGCCTCACTCGTGCCGAGCCGGTCCCGTCACATGCGATGCGTCGATAAACCGGCACCCGCGGAGCCGCAGCCCGCCCGTCCATGAAAACGAGCGAGTGATAAGCTCAAAAATGAAGAAACCAGGCAACGACAGACCGATAAAAAAGCGATCAAATCCTGGCGAGGAAAAGCTGCAAAAGAGAGGGGGGAGGCGGAAGAGCAACCGGCTCTATTTAAACCCAATCCCCTCAAAGTCCCGCATGAGCACAGCCATCTGCGCGCGTTTCGCCGCCTCCGCGACCAGCGTAAAGTCCTTCAGGAACGGATCGGTCGTCGATACCTTGGCGGGTTTTGGCGCCGGCGGCACGATCTTGCTGCTGCTGATGGGGGATTGCTGGGTCGACGACATGGTCGAGGTTGATGTTGATGTGGTGGATCGGAAGTCCATTTTTGAGGTGTGGGTGTTGGTGATAAGGTGTTGATAAGGTGGGTTGTGGTTGGAAAGATTGTTCGAGGGTTGCCCTTTTTTTAGTTTGTGGTTTTGGGTTTGTGAAGGACAAGAGTGTAAATGTGGATGTTCCTGAGAGAGAACTAGAGGAGGGAAGAACGGGAGGGTGAGGTGGTTGTTTTTGAGCTGGGATGACGAAGCCGCAGAGACGAAAGACGTAAGAGCGTTGTTATGAGCGTGACCCTCGGCTTGTGATGCCGGTTGTGATTCCTCGGCAAACACAACGTTCCGCTCGGGACCTTTTTTGATCTCCCCTGGTCTCCAAAGCAAACAATGGGCAAAAATCTCGGCTGTAACCGTATCGCTGCTCGCGGTTGCAAGTATCTCCTTGGAAAGGAATGCGAAAAAAAGGAAGAAGAAGAAAATAAAGCCGAACGGATTTGAAAAGGTCGTCTTAAGCGGGGATTGGAAACGGCCCTTCTTTTTGGAGATTTCAATGAGTGCCGGCTGGTATGGAGAGGTGTGACACCTGGTCACGCCTGGTCACGTCAATACCCCCAAGGGATCTGACTCGCTTGATGGAGCCGGAGCCCAGGCCGATCCCTCCTCTGCCCTCTTTCTTTGATGCCGGCTGAATGACGGGAACGCAAGCGCCAATCTGACGATGGGCGGGAAGTTGCAGATGCAAGATGCAGTTTATTTGGTCAACGCCCTTGCCTTGGCTTGGTTCCGAAGGGGGTTTTGGAGTCGAGGCTGCTGCAGAAGGCCCAAACTGGAGGGGGCTGCCGCTGTTGCAATGACGATCGATAAGGTGTTTGACGCAGGTTAACGGCAGACGACGCGGGATGAGATAGAGGGGGTGGGACAAGAGTATCAAGTGCCTGATGGGAGCGGGTAAGAGGGCATTTATCGAAGCAGACTCAAGCCCATGCTCGAGGCGTATCGGCGTTTCAATCGTCTGTTGTAACTCTGGCAACTCCAGGGTCTCGCTCCGGGAAACGGCAAGTAATACAGATTACACAAAGACGTTTCGCCACCAACCCCTTTGGCTATTATCTTTCTGATGTTGGTCGTTCGGGAGGCTCTACGGCTAAATGCTCGGAAGAAGTCTATCACCATCGAATGTTCCACGGCCCCTCCGAAGCCCCCCAAAACCACAACGCCCATTCGCATTCTCTCGCCTACCCTAGTGGGGAAGGTCGACTTGACGGACCCCACTCGGTCAAAAGTCAACACAGCGTAGCTGCGTCGCTTGTTGCAGTGTGCTGCAGTCTCGGTTGCGTCTCTTTCGTCTCGATATTGCGGAATCTCAAAGGCCTTGTCACCGGTTTATCGAAAACCGTTGACTCGAGAAACAACCGAGAGTTTCACCCCTGCAACATCCCACTGCACATGGCGACACGATAGGTATCACAGGGGGTGGGTAATTATTCAGTGGGGGTACACCCGGACCGAGATCTCGGAGAATCTCTTCACTAGACTGCGGATGAAGGGGCCGACAAGCCCGCTCCTTCCGGACCCTCCGCACATTTTGTGAACACTCTACATAGTACACTACTGTTAGCGCGCGGTTGTTGTCAGGGCTGTTTGAGGCTCCGCAGCCTTATTCGAGATCCCCCGGGAGAGATCGTAATTGTTGCCGTAAGGCAAGGGCTCAACGACAGCAACCGGCCGATGGAGGATACGTACCCTTAAAATCCGGTAACCGACCTGCGACGGAACCTAATAAAATGGGGACAGCAGGGCCATTACTTCGTACCAGTGGAAGCTCGACCTCCGGAGCACACCCTGCCATCTCGATAACCTGTCTCTTGGCAGATAGATGCTTTGCACCGACAACCTGGTTACGGTCGATCCCCTCGTCGCTGCAAACCCAAAAGCGTACCGCGGAAAGGCCGACGAACGAGGCCGACAAACGAGGCCAATGGACGAGGCCGACGAATTGACGGACTAGTGACCGTCCTCGAGCAGGGAAGAGGTTGCAACTCTCCAAGAAAACTTATTTATCAGTGAAGCACGCGACTATTATTTAAGTGTTTACACAACCCAAAACAGGTGAGCGGACGGGCCCTCGCGGGGGAGGGGACATAATTGAGCACCTGATGGTGCCTCGGCATCAACACATGTTGTTGTATGGCCTATCAATGAACCGCCAAGCTTTGTCTAAGACGAAAACACCACAATATTGCAATATGGGAATAACTCCATGTTTAATTCTCCGCCCATGATCCACGACAAATATACGAGGCGTGGGTAAATAATAAGTTTGTAATTGCCCCCTCTTCAAACAAGGATCTGCTCGACAGTGCCCGTATCACTGGAAGATATGCACATTGCCGGGTTTCACGAGACTCGAACAGAACAGCAAGCATCGCCCAGAATGTGGGGGTCAGGGTCAGGGACCAACCCCATGTGAATCTGACCACCCGCGCAAGATTTTCCGGGGATCTTGGCGCGCCAAGAACAGAGTGACACAGGGGTACTTCGAGGGTCCGGGCCCACGGTTTCCCCTTCAGGCAAAACCACGGCAAGACGGTTTTTCGGTCCTTCTCCCGGATGCTCGGACAAAGTATCCCGTTGTCACCCGCTCTTCTCTGGGAACCGTTGTTCGTTGTGGTAAAAAGTTGATGACGCCGTTTCCCTTGGCCAGGGTAAGGGCATGTGCAAAGATAAAGCTAAAGCGAAACTAGTCAAGTGCAAACTGTCCAGAATCATCAAAGTTTTCGGTACACAAATAGCCAAAGTATATTCAGCAGAGATGAGATTAGTCCAACCGCCGCTCTGAAAGCTCATGCCGTCCCTCCGAAAACTAGGGGAAGCTGCAATCAGCATCGATAAGTATATAGTAGCAAGTTAAGGCAAATCCGACCCCGTGTATCATTGCTCACATACTCGACAGGCCTAGAAAATACGCCTCGCTGCCGGTGCAGTCATCCCTAAGACAGGTGACGAAGGCATGGCCTAGGTGCGAGCAACTGATGTCAGCGCCATTATCGATTCCGTCTTTGTGACAATCCCAAGGGCTCAGAGGAGCATGAGTTTAGAGCAGCAGGCTAAAATTGGCGGCATTCTCGTACTAGGAGACAAAGAAAAACGGATGAAATGGTAATCATGGATTACCCACCACGTTACTCTAGCCCATGAGCCTCGGAAACTCAACCGGCGGACTGACGAACCCTATTTTCTACTGGCCTAGGTAGGTGTATTCACTAGGTGACCGATTTGGCATCGGTTTAAGCCCGTGCCAGAGCCAACGTTGCCTTGGTTCACTGCAACCACAAGGGCCATGCGCTCCAACGGGATGTCAGCTTGGTGAGATGGTAGCTCGAAACCCACCTTGGGGTCTAGCCCGTGGCTTTGGGTTACAATTTAGGGTTGGGCGGTTGAGCTTTGAGTTCATGGTTATCTCCCCCGAGCCGGCCGCCCGGTCTGAGCCTAAACGAGAAGCACTTGGTGAGTGTCATCACGCTCAAGGCAGGCAGACGGAAAGGGGGCTTTATGGTTGAGGGCAGGATGTAAAGACCAAAATTTTGTACAAGCAGTTACTGATTCCTCTCCTCGTTCTTTACACTTAAGAAACAACCTAAAAGGGCAACGACGTGTGTCTGGACCAGGGCCGGTGGCGGTACGGCACCTTCCGTGATCTCCAGCGATTTCTTGTGCAGCATGCAGAGACGGGATCCGGCCCCACTCCGGCCAAAAATATGGGGCAGCCGATTCTTGGCATGACCCGCAGTGGATTGACGCCAAACCTTCTGGGATGGAAAGTGTGTGCATCTAGAATTCCAGCGATCTCGGCCCAACATTTTGGTTGCGACAACGAGCACAGTCTTTACCTTTTTTTCTACCCATTATTCTCCCTCCGTCTCTCCTTGGGGTCATTATGGCGACAGCGCCTTCCGGTGCCGCGAGCTGGCGCAAGATGCAGATACCGCGACCGTTGCAACAACTGTTCAACCATTTCCCGCTGCACACCTACGACGCCAACCCTCTTCCCGAGAGGTCACAGTACCTCACATCAAGTGACCTCCCAACACTATACGTTTTCTCCACAGAATCGGACGCCCGGCTAGGTCTTCCGAGCTTCAACCCGGGCTGCCTCAAGTGGCAGGTACGACCCGCCAACCAACCCTTTCCCCCTCTTCCGTGGTCACCTTTCTCTTCCCGCATCCACTAACACACCCTCTTACTACCCCTGCTTTAGACCCTCCTCCGCCTCGCCAAACTCGATTTCCACGTCCTCCCCTCGACAAACCACGCCTCCCCCACCGGATCGCTCCCTTTCCTCCTCCCCTCACGAACCACCTCACCACCAACAACCCCCCCGCTCCCCATCCCGGCCTCCAACCTCCTCGCCTACGCCCGCAAACAACAACAACAACCCAAGAACAAATCTCAATCCCAGCCCTTCCCCGACCTCGACTCGACCCTCCCCGCCCGCTCCCAAGCCTACCTCTCCCTCATCACCCTCTCCCTCCGCAACGCCTGGCTCCACGCCCTCTACCTCGACCCATCCCACACCCGCCTCCTCCAAGACCTCTACGTCCGCCCGGCCTCCTCCTCCCGCAGTGTCCAAGCAGCACTCCTCTACCAACTCCGCCGCGCCGCCGCCGAACAAATCATCACCAGCACCGGCGGCAAAGTGGTCTCGCTCTCCCCGGTGAACAGCGCCGCAGGTGTGGACGAGGAGGCCGTATACGCTGCGGCGCGGGACGCGCTCGACGCGCTGGCTACTTTGTTGCGTGAGAGTCGGACGGGGTGGGCGTTTGGGCGGGAAGAGCCGGGGGTGTTTGATGCTACGCTGTTTAGTTATGTTCATCTGATGGTGGAGTATATGTCGGATGAGGGCGTGGCGGCGGAAGCAGCAGCAGGAGGAGGTGGGGGAGTGGCGCTGGGGAGGTTGGTACGAGAGGCTGGGGACGGTGAGTTGGTTCGGCATAGGGAGAGGATGTTACGTGTTGCGTGGCCGGAGTGGGATGGGTATCGGAGGTAGATTGAGAAGGAAAGGGTTGATCAAGGCAAAAGCGGGAGGGAAATAGGATGTGCATATTATGGTATAATGTACAAAGTGCTTGGATCTCCTGAAAAGTGATGCCGGAATAGACAAAAGAGATACCCAAAAGAAGACATGAATCAATCTCCTATACATTTTTCCCTCTCTCCGTCTTACATATTCCAATATAATAGATGGAACTCAAGATCTTAGAGAGTCGAAACCGCAACAGCAAGCCACAGCCACACGCAAAACAGTTTCTGGGCGGTTGGGCCAGAAGTCAAGGGCATTGATATGATAGCATTGATTCCAATGCCCTTCTCCTCCAGTATATATACACTAACGCCAAGCTAAAGCCCGGTTAAAGGAAGAGTAAATATCTCCAGACTCGAAAAATGGAGTGGGGGGGCTGACCACGCCCCCAGATCCTCAAAGCTAAAACCAGCAAACCATCGGCAAACGGCGGGAGAGAAAAAGCCACTGTATGGCCTGAACAGCTCACCACATATCGGCCGTCGTTGCCCACGACCTGTATAGGTATGTCTAGTGCGTAGCTAGTAAGGGAAAGGGAACCCATACAGATAGGTAGACACCCAGTCACAAACACAAACAATACCAACCAACTCACTCATTTACCACAATCACCAACAACAAGAAACATTGATAATAAAGCTTGCCCCCTCGCATTCTTCAATCAAACTAAGCCTAGGTACTGTACCAATACACCCACCCAGCCCTCACTCACCACAACCAAGCCCATCACCCACTCCTCACTCCCAATCATCTCGAGTCAGGTAACCATGTAGACTCTGTCCATTCATCCACCCATCCTCCATCTCTACCACCACTCATCCACGCACACCGACTGATATCAACAAACCAACTAACCAACCTTACCCTCTTCATATTTCACCAACCAAAAAGTAACGACAAGCAAGCCAAGCTCCAAAACCATACCAAGCCAAAATAAAATCAGACCCATACAAACTAACCCAAAGAAAACGAAAAGCCATAACCAAGCCGAAGACATAAGAATAAAGCCAACCAACCTTAACCTGCCGAACAAACGCCATATCATGTGAGTGGGAAAATGTATACGAAAACGAGGAGGAGAGAAATATGAAGAGCCCAAAACGCGCAAAACAAGACAGGAAAGGGAAAAACGTAAGAATGGCAAAAAGCATGCCAATATAAGAAGTGATACCTACATGGGAGAGTCTTAATGCAACAAACCGACTAGCCTTTGTCCCACGGGAAGGGTAACCTACCGACCGCAGTCCCGCTTCCATCAAAAAACGAAAAGTTGAATAACCATCGCGGCCGCCAGCAGCGTCATTAGCACTAGCCGACGGATGAGTAGGGAAGGGAGTGGGGAAAAGGAAGCAACGCAGAGAACTAGAGTAGGGTGAACCCGAATCTCCGCCATACACACCGTAAGCGACGTAACGCTTGACCATCCCGGACCGCCCTTAAGCCTCCTTGTTTATCGGTCTTGCGGTGGCGAACCATGGATCTGCCCAAGCCCCGCAACCGCGCAACACGTAATCTGCATCCACATCGTCGTCCCTTTCTCGTACACCTCTCTGTCCTAGCCCACCACGGTCACATATACACTATCCGAATAACCGGACTCCCCCCCCTACCGGCCTCTCGTACTTGTCCCCCGGCTTTATCACACCTCCAGCTGCCTGTCCTATGCCTGACCCCTACCGCAGCTTCGGAGACGGAATACTGCGGATAATGCCGTCTACTGTGACAAATGCACCATCACCGCCGTCCTTTCTAAGGTCCTCTAGCAGTACGCAGGTCTGGGCGTAGACATTCTCCAGCGCAGCACGGGACGATTTGCCGAGGGACGCTGTTTGTCGAGTGTTAGTCAAATCTCGGCATGTAGCAACGGGAAAATGACGGGCGACTCACTCAGAATGGCACTGTTCAGCTCCTCCGCCACAGCGACACGCCCACTCCCGTCCAACAAATGTGCCACCTCCTTCACCTTCAGTGGATTCGGGTACGCCAGCAAAGACGCGACCTCGTCCAGAGCCGCGGTAGTCTCACGACGTGTGTCACCCGCAAACTCGGCCTGGAGCTCTATGCCATAGACGAGCGCTTCGTGTGATAACTTGCTCAGCGCCGGCGGGCTGTTAGTCCCATGCACATCGTCCCCCTCTTCCGCCATCGCCGTGTCCATATCGTCGTCGCCGTTCGCCGCCTCGGCCTCGAGCATTTCCTCGTCGTCGCTATCGATCGCAGAATTACCGTTAGTGTGACTGCGCCGCCGTTGTTCTTCGAGGAGCATGTTATGCTCAGCCTCCTTGCGAATCATCTCGATGAACTTGCGGCACCGGAGGCGGAAGTACACCCGCTCGTTCTCGCGGAGGACGGTCGGGTAATGGCTTTCCGTGTACTTCATGGCACGGTCGATGTCGCCCTCAAGCACCGCACGCCTGATGCGTTGTCGGTTGTTCGCGTCTTCATCATCGCGGATGCTAATCCCCTGGATCGTCTCCTCTGGGTCGAGTCGGAGGGCCTCCTTCTCACTGTAAAGCTCTTCCGCGAACGCACGGGCTGTTTCGACGTACCCGTCGTGCTGGAGGAACTGAAGAACCTATTGCGCGTGTAAATCTTCGGCCAAGTAAGGGTTCTCTGAGTATATGCTTACCAGTTGCTGGATCAATTCCGTCTCGGACAATCCAGGGACAAGTTTCGATGCGTCAGTTTTACGGATCTGGTCTGCGACCGCGTCCCGCTGCCGCTGTATGAATTCCATTAGCATCGGCGGGGTCCCATCAGGTCCACACCCCCAACGGCGACGGGACCGTCGCATTGTGTAGAGAGGTGGTGAAAGGGGAGACAACGTGCAAAAGGCACTGGCAGCATCAATGTGCGCATCAGAGATGCAGTCATTGTAAAGTCGCCGAGGGGAGGAAGGATGGACCCGGGCACCGGGCAGGCGCTCAAACACCAGCTCACGGCGGTCCTTGCGCTCACAGTTGCACTAACAACTAGGTGAATCCACACTAGGCCCGCGTCACACTTTCCTCGTCAAAGAAGATAACATTCGGCCATGTTGGAGAGATGAAAACGCAATGAATGGGGGGTGAAACTTACCGCCATATATCCGTCGATGTCAAACATAAACGGGCGTTGGCCGAAATTCGCCAAAATATGATCCTCCTTCTTTTTGAGACCGACGATGGGGTATATATTCCCCCTGATGTCTTTAAAGGGGATGTCCTTGAACGCGACGGCTGTGGCGGGTTAGCATATTTTGAACTCTTCGTAAGGAATACCACACCAGCGTAACAAAACGCTTGATGAAAATTGAAGGTAAGGAAGCACAGCATAGCCTGCAAGACACAGCATACCTAGCTCCCGCCCATTCTTGGTATATAACGCGTGGTTGAGTCGAAAATTGACGAGGCAGCCCACGGTATCACCCACACCAAAGATCTCGGCGTACGGCTTCCCCACGTTCTGCGACGCAAAGGAGTGACCGTCATCTCCATGGTAGCCCCAGGAGTCTGGCTCCCAGCCGGGCGCTCGAGATAAGGAAGCTTCGGTACTCGCGAAACCGATTGCGATTGGCGGTGTCTTGCTATAATCCCACCAAACAAAAACCGGTTAGCCTGATAGTTCCTATCGAACCAGAATATTCAACCCTCTCGGAAGCACTGGGCGGGTATCACGCACTTGTTGACTTTATCCTGTCTCCCACCCAGTATTGTGATCTCATAGTAATACACCCCGCATGCTGGCGGCATGTAGTGATTTGCACGGATGGAACTAGCCTCGTGATCGCTCATAGGCCGCCCCGTATGCCTGACCTCGTACCCATCACCCAAGATGTCTAGCGATGCCTCCTTGTCGTCTCGGTTCCAGCCGGACGGCAGCGGGCTCAACCCATCGTCCGCTTCCTTGGGCGCGGGGGTTGGGCGCTCCACTACGTCGTATGCCACTCCTCTGTGGGATGAGCCGGCAGCCTTAGTGCCGATTGTGGGCAGGTGTCCTGAGTTCCGGTTCGCCGCAGGTCGAGAGGACAAAGAGGAAGAGGATGGCGCCGACTTGAGCGAGGTGTTGTTGCCATCACTGTTGACAGCTCCGTCTCTCTCGGCTAAGACTTTTGCTTTGTGCTTCTCTTCCAGCTTTTGTAGGTAGACGGAATCGCGTAAGTATGATGGAGCGAGAAACCCGGTTTCACTGATATTGGGATTCGGAGCGACAGAGGGGAACCGATAGTCCCCTGGGCCGGTAAGGTCGTCGACGAGTAGCGGATCTTTGTTCATGTAGAGGTCGAACGCGCGCGAGAAGTAGGGGAACCCCGTGCCGATCCGCGGCGGCCACGCGCTGGCACTGGCACCACCATCCTGACCGTCTCGGTAGGAGCCGTCCTCGTTGGACGTTCCACCATACGGGTACGACATGCTAGTGTCGAAACGGGGGTTTTGTGTGGTCGATTCCGGGCCGGCCGGAGGCTCGGCGGTGGGGGAGGGGTTGAGGAGGTGGGAGAATCCGCCGGAGCGGGCGGGACGGGCCTGGGCCGAGGGGCTCCCGGAAACAACGGATGCGTACGAGGGCCGGCGGGTGCTGAGAGGCGGAAGGCGACCGGATGCGAGGGAGTCGAAATTTGACCTGTTATGCTGTTGTTGTTGCTGTTGATAGGGATTGGTCATAGTGAGGGAGGGGCTGCGAGCTGCCCAAAGAGGGCAGCGGCCGGAGGGGGCGGGGTGTTCGCCGAGGAGGGGACGGCGTGCAGGAAGACCTCACGTCACGAGTAAAGTCAGGGAAGGTATGGTGTCTTGTGTTCGGTGCGGGCCGAGGCAGGCTAACCCCAGAACGAAGGCGAGCTGAACGAAGGAACGGACGGACGAACGATCGTATGCGGGCAGTGCAAGGAGGCTTCCTCCCTTCGTATGGTCAAATTCGGTCGGTGGTATATGCGTTTCGGTTCTAGGAGCGGAATCGGGGTTGGCTGCGAGGAACGGAGCTCAGGTTGCGTGCTCTTCGGCGTCGCAGCGTGCCAGCGGAGGTAACTATCGGCGTTGCCCTGGGGGAGATAAGCCGTTGGGCAGACGCACAGTTGGATGGTTCGGAGTAATCTTGTTCGTTGCGATTCGGGGTCCTCCGCTCTTGCGTCGCTATGTCATAGATGCGCAAATCGGCACTAGCCCGCCCCGTAGCTGCAACGCAGGGAAACAAAGAAAGATAAAGTTAAAAGAAAAAAGCCCAACGCCGGCCTGTAGTCGAAAGATTTAGTGCTTGGAAAGCCAATAGTCTAGAAAGCGCCAGCTGTGTTTCCCCAAAACGATAGGGCCGGTACGGGGCGTTGATTCCTGCTTGTTGTCTTGTCTTGTTATCCTCAGTCAATCAATCATGCATGGACAGTGGGAAGTCGAAGGTCGGTCCAGTCAGATCGAGGCATTTTGGTTTGCGGGTCAAGTGTTTGGAGAGAGGCAGGGGTGAGCCACCAGCTGCCAGGCGAGCAGCTGCACAGGCGCGGCGGGGTCATTCCAGTGAGTTCTGGGGCAAGCGGACACTGGCAAGCAGCTGGACTGGTTGACTGGCAAGACTGGTGACGGGCTTCGGCTCAAGCACCATGGAAACACTGAAAGACGGGATCATGGGGTCGGCAACGCTAAGCTGAAAGCGTGGCGACTGACAGGCAATGCCCCGAAGAGAGCAGGAAAGCTGTCCGACAGTGGAGGAAGTCGCGCTGGATCCACCTCGCCCACTCAAAGCCAATTGCAGTGCACAAAACATCCCCGAGAGTGGGCCGCCCCGGCACATCATCTTTGGAGCCAAAATGCCAAAGTAGAAAGGAAAGAACCGGAGAACAACGCGCCATTCCTGGGTGCGATTGCTCAGAAACTAGGAGGCAAACGCTCCGTCCGGGGGCGAAGCGGCAAAGCACCTAGCGAGAGAGCTGGGAGCCCAACCACCGCTGTAAATTAGAGAAAAGATGACCGGACCAAAACTCCCCGAGACAGATCTCACCAACGTTGCTTCCATTTGTAGCTCTATCTAAGGGACTGGGCCAAGGAGACAACTCTCCGTTCTGTTGTACAGAAATCACCGTTAAACACTCTCACCTTTTACACGGTCGTCCTGGAACCCTCCTGTCTCTTTTCCGACAAGTTAGCGCTGTGGGTAGTGCGCTCGTCTTTGTCCGTCAACTTATTAGACGTCATTCATCCCCAAGCCGATGACACGGTTGAACCAGTGATACGTAGCGTCAAATAACCTCTGGGCTTCTTAGTGTCTTTAAAGTAGCAGCATCCCGGAAATTCTGCTGCGAGACAAGCGAGGAACAGCTATATGGGAGCGTTGGCCATGTACATCTGTCAAGATAAAGCAGCAAAGCACACGCCAGTGACTAAATGAGAATCCATGTAAATGGTTGTTGTCTATGGATCGTTGCTACGGCGCCCGTATCCTCCTATCTCCCGCATACCTGATGCTTGAGCAAGAACTGGCAAGATGTGCCCTCGGTCTGTCTCGTTGTGTTGTACATCGCTGGATATGGTCCAGTCTCGTCCCATTCCTCCCCCAAACTCCAAAAACGCCTTGGCCTTCCACCTGTCCGTTTGGTCGTCCGCTAGCGCGGTACTGAACAGATGCTATCTCCCCTTTTCCCTGCCATTTAGTACAGCCTCCCCTTAACTCCTGGTTACAATGCTAATGGTTCTCCGAAATACCAGTGATGTGCGTGTGTGCGTAGAATAAAAGTCAAGACAAGCCGAGACGAAACAATGTGAGAAATGTAATAAGGGGAAAGAAAAAACGGTGCGATATGGTACCGCTCAAGCAGCGGCGATCGGGGCCGGCGCCGGCGAATTGTCAGCGGCAAAGCTTGGGGTACCTCGCATCTCGATATCCCCCCCGTTGTTGCTCGCTTCGCTTTTGATCTGGCTGTTGACGTCCTTGTTCTCCTTGTTGCTGCCTTCCGACGCCGGGGTCGACCCGTCGGCCGATTCCTCAGGCCGGGGCTTCGGCGGCGCGGTCCAACGGGGGATCTCCCATGTTACGCCCGTAAAGGTCTTGAGAGTGAAGCCGCCCCTGTTCCACTTGCGGCATGGCTTGCCGGAACGATCCAACGCACGAAGGCCGGCATTGATGGCACCTTGGTTGGCCCGAGGTCCGAGTTTGTGGGCGGCAAGGGAGCCTCGGCCACCTTCGATAGTTCCATCCTCACTATCGGTATGATTAGCATTGTGTACCGCGCGACAAATGATTGATATCTGATGGCGGGGGAAGAATTGTAGGGAGGGCATGGTTTGTGTGGAGGGCATGCGAGTAGGTCGCGACGGGAGCACTTACAGCCTCTGCTTCTTCTTCGGCCCTGGCTTGCCTCGAACCTTCGGTTCGCCGTTGCCATTCGCGGCAGTATTCGCGCTCCTCTTGACTCCCCTCTTCTTAGGGCCTTCAGTCGGAGGGCCCATTGTTGACTGCGCCGCTGGTGTACCAGCGGCCGGGGGCGAATTGGGAGTCGAGTCCGATGCGTTCTCTGTGGTGGATGCCGGCGCCGTGGGCAAAGCAGCGGGTGCAGGCGATTGCTTGGCCGAGGTGTCTTCCTTAATGGAATCCGGGTCGACGATGGCCTGCAGCTTTAGGGGCTGCACCTTGAGGGTGACGATGTTGGTCGGCTTGGGGGAGGAGTCGGTACTGGAGATGGACGGGGCAGCCGTGTTGCTCGACTTACGCCGGTCCTTTGCCGCAGCAGCGTTCTTGCTTGGAGGAGCCATCGACGGCGCTTTCAATCAAAGGTCGTGTCGGGTAGTTGGTAATGCGGAGGTCGTTGGGTGTTGGCCGGATTAATGGGGGAGAGGTGCGAACAAAGACGACGACGACAATGATGGGAGGCGTGAATGGAAGGTTGGTGCAGGAGGAGAAAATTGCTTTGTCACGGTGCGGTGATGCTTTGCTTCTAGGCGTGCGTGGCTCAGAAGATTGGGCGATCCACTGGCTGGGAATGCAAGGGGCGCACACGGTCAGCTTGGGGTGAGAATCGGCCGTGTCGACTTTTGGCGTCGCACTTTTATTTCGCGTCGGCGGCAGCGGGCCCTGGCTGGATGGCTGTGGTCGGCGATGAACGTGGTGATGCGAGCGTGGTGGGCATTCGGTTAGGTGTGGGAAGAAGGGAAGGGGAGGATTTTCATGGGACGGGCGTGAAAAAGTTTGGAGCCTTCGCAGCCATGGTGAGGCGCTGGGCGTCCACCTGTTTTGCCTTCATGCTGCCAACCCAAGGTTCAGGTCGGGGCATTCGACTTGTTCGCAGGAACCGAGGGGACACTGCGCGGAGTCTCCAACAAGGGAGTCTCGTCTTGACTTTTCTGGGCAATGCACGTTTAACCCTAACCCTAAGTACATTCGTACCTTCAGCCGGGTCCGTGTACCCAATGGCAACGCGTACCGCCGACGGGGCCTGCACGTCTCAAATTACCCTCCAGGTGATTTTCAACATGATGGCCCCGTCCGTTTGTCAGGCTTTTCCTCGTTTGTTGTGGAGGGCTCGCTGCAATGTCTTTTCCCAACTTCCGAACTCAGGAGATCCAAAGCAGACTGGCACGGATCACTAAGGGGTCGTCTGCCACTTTTGCGCCTCAACGATCTCTCTGTCCCCGTCATGCAGCCCCTTTTTCATAGCCACTCCAATACGTCAATCATCACGAGATAAAAACGCTCGTAGGCCCGAGGGTTTTGGGTTCGAACTGCGACTTTTAGGGTTCAGGAGAGGGAGGGATGACGGATGACTCGGACAGGCAGCAAGCTTGGGGGCGATGATGACGGAAGGAACAAAGTGGTTCCATGTGCATCTGTCACCCACTGCGCCTTCCTTGCGTTGGGTTTCGACACATCCGCGCCGTTGCGGTCTGCTGTGCCAATCCGTTTTCGGCAAAGAGTGAGAGGACGGGAGGGAAAGAGAGAGGGCTGGGGAGAGGGGGCCGCTCGATCTCCATCCACGACCGTCGCATCCACATCACCCGCTTCTCAGGTCTCGCGCCGTGCGAAGACATCCGACTTGTAACGCCGGCCAACCCGGCTAAGTCCAGAAAATCCTCGCATCGTTGTCCTTCCTTGTCTCGCCTGATCCCCGACCCAGCCGAGGACCAGATGACTATTCCAACGCAATACAATACCTGGCCCGCCGGAGCCGCGGAGATTTTGAGTTCCCACTCAAACTAGAACCGAGCGACCGACTGGAATGGGATCAGATTTTGGCAGCCACTCGCGCGCATCCTGTGAATGTTGCGCCGCCTCGAAGACGACTGGCGATGCGACCCGCCAACCGGTTCGCACGCGGGGGCCAGGGTTGGATCATCTCAACCCAACACCGAACGACTCCTTCGCGCCCGCTTCCCCTCGGTCTCAAGCCGTGAGACCAATTGAGTTCGCGAGACGCAACACCCGGCGCCAAACCCACACCAGGGGGGCCCCAAACCAAATTTCGTGCGGTTTTTGCAGAACGGCACGCTCAATTTCGACGAGGGCCCGTTGCCCTCGCATCATGGTGAATGAATGTCGCAACTGATCAGCACCACAGACCATCGCCATGAATATCCGTGTCCGGCGCGCCCACAACTCCTTGAAACATCCGATGTCGTGATGGCCATCTCAGTAACTCTAGAAATGTTTTGGTCCCAGCGCAGCACTAACCATTATACTGCCGAACCCCCGTGACTCGAGTTTCCGAACACCAAGGTAAATGCATCAGCTTCGCCGAGAAAACCGAACGCGCAACACAAATTCCTTGTCAACCAGTGAGTGATTATGGCGATTCCCTTCAACCACCTCGCAAAAGTAAATACCTATAGAAGAAATCTGCCTGTTCCAGCTATCTTCCTGCACCCACACCACGTAGCCCTTGACAGAAAACAACTCAACATGCGACTTTTCAGCCGCAGGACGGTGAGCTACCCGGCAATATAAATGGCCCATCCAAACATCAAACGGACGTTCTGATCTTGATGCGAGATAGGTAGGTTTGTTGGTGAGGCATGCGTTCCCAGCACCACTGTAGGAGCCTAGTAGTACGAGGCCAGGGGAATCACATAAGATAATGATGAGGATACTTCCTAGATAAAGGTACAAAACCAGAGCACACAAGGTAGGATGGGCCTGAGTGCTCGACGCAAAATCATCGTCACCATCATCAAGTGGGCCCGACGTTTACTCGTTAAGACATCACAAAATAACAGCTGCAACAACACCAGCATCGGCGACGGCGATGCCCGGAATGTCGCCCTCTTGTTACACCTTCTCCGTGGATGATCTTACGTTGCCAGCCTCACTCTCATGATCCCCGTCTAGCTTGAATGTAAGGTGGTCGGTAGAGCTTGGCCTAAAGGTGCACGCGCTCTACATGAATATAAGCAAACAAATACTTTCACACCCCCACGCTCTCTTCCTCTCTCTCCCTCTCTTTTTGCCCCTTGCTGATGCGCTTTCAACTGTGGGAAACATCGCCCCACGAATTCCTAGCGAGCTACACTTGCAGGTTTCGCAAACGCTCAAGAGGGCCTCGTTGCACAATGAACAAGAAATACCGAACTACTACCCTCCAACCGTGATAGATACCCCTTTAATAGCCTGCTACACAGATAGGCTCAGCGCCCACCGTCTTCAACAACGCGGGTATCGATGGAGGTAATTCGACGTGGTCAGAAGGCAGAGTTGGGCAACTTGGCTAGTCCTCAATCTCTTATCTATTATACAACACCACGGATACAGCATATCCCAGGCCCTCAAGTATATATGTCACTCGGGCAGTCCAAGACTGATTTCACGGAGTGGTATCGGCAGCAAGAGGTGAGCTAGCCGACCCATTAATAGGAGGGGCCGGAAGAGAGAAAGCGTAGCCGCTTCTATATATAATTTACAACTCAGCCTCATCCATGATCACACCCCATACATACGAACAACCGTTCCATGTGTGAAACGAGGGACACCCTTTGAAGCTTCCTCTCTCCTCCCAGCAGCGGTCAAGTCGATCTTGGTGACAGAACGCACCCAACACAATATTCTGATTGTCATTCACCATCCCAATCCGAGCACATTGTTGAACTTTTTACTCAATTATTTGTTTATTTCGTTCGCCACCGTAACGACAGAACGGTCCGGGACTAAGCGCATTACCGACTAGCTAGCCCTGGAAACACCTCGTCCTGAGTGAGTGGCCCCATCGACCAGCGTTATGCCTGTGCCCGGTATATGATTCCATTTCCTCATTTCTCTCCTCCCAATATCCCTTTTGTCCCTAGCTTACCTTCCTCTAAGGCATGCGCTCGTGGGGGTGCTCCAGCTTCTCCTGGCAGAACGGAAGCTTGCCGATGGTCCAGATCTCGTGCTCCTATTGTCGTACAAGAAAAAATGGCACTCCAAGTTAGCCACCGTGTCTTGTGCCTCTCTTTCTCTATCATCAAGCATCGCAAGATAACTCCTCGCAGAGTAGGTCAGGGTAGGTATGTATTAATGTGTGTACTTACCGGCTTCAAGGTCTTCTTGATCTCAGTGTCGAGCGAGCCGCCCTTGAGAGCAATGATCTCAGGCGCGGCATCCGGGTCGTGGGCGATGGGCGAGCCGCAGTCGCCGCAGAACCAGCGCCACACCGACTTGCCGGAGGAGCCGGTGCCTTCCCACTTCTTGAGCGGGCCGGTCACGCTGAGTTTGTCCTTGGGGACGACAACGACGAGAGCTGAGGGGGGATGTTAGCTCCTGCCATTCACTGGCTGGCTGCTACCATTGGAACGGGATGGTGAAGAGATTGGGCATGGGGGGACCGGGAAGAGGAGGGAAACGCACAGTAGGTCGAACCGGACTGGCGCTGGCAGTCATCGCAGTGGTCGTAACCGGTAAGGAGGGGGGCATCAACGTCGGCCTTATAGGTGACGGCCTTGCAGAGACAGTGACCAGTGAGAGGCATGTTGGGTGGTTGGAATTGGGTGGTGGTTGAAGGTGAAGTTGGTGAGTTTCGAAGAGTGAGTCGATGATTTTTCGGGCAGTTTAAAGGCTTGATTTGTGTCTACAGGAAGTGGAATGGGTGGGCGGAAAGAAACAGGACGTCAACGACGTTAAATACATGAGACGGCAAGACGGGAAGCTAGGTAATCGAGGAGCTTAGCTGCCCGTGGGGGAGGGGTCATTTTGCTAGCTCCGAGGTAGGCAGGTACTTAGAAGTGACATCTCCACTAGTACTCTCCCTCCGGGGAAACTGTGCGCCACGAGCCAAACTTGATCGCCATTAGGTAGCGAGGCGCGCTTGCCGGCGGGCCTGGGAGGGTGTTCGTGGTCCAATGCTGGAGAAGGTCTATAACCTTGAACTATAGAAGAGAATTTGCACCTTATTCAATAAGGAGATCTCTCGACCTCGCTCGGATTCCATTCTGAGGTCTAGTACCACTGTGTTCCAAATAGTGTACGCCACGGTATCAGATCGCCGACACACACCACCGGGCATTCCTGAGTCAGCAACCCTGGACCGTTGATCCCGTAAGAGTTAGTTCGGTGAAAGCCCGGGTACTTCTCTATTTCCTTTCCGCAAGTACTGGAGCTTAATTCACTTATCAAAGCTCCTGCCGTTTCCACTCAACCGCCCACATGGAAGCGACTCCGGGGACGGCCTTGCTTGCATGAGCGCGGCCAATGCAAAGAGACGATAGTTAGGACCTCCGTATCTGACAGCTTGATAACTTTTCGATAATCTAATCTCCAAAATACGACCTATGGGATGCGAGAAACAGAGGCGGATGGTGCAGAAGTTTGTTGGGGTTGGGAAGACTTGAACGAGAAAGCCCCGCCGCGGGGTTACCTTATTTGTCACTGGCCCCACATGAGTTGCCCCTCTATCATCTTGAAGGACCTGCTGCTGGCGTCACTAACGGCTGGCTCTCGCTGGGGTAAGGTGCAGCTATTTGGAATTCTGTGCGTCATTCTCAACTCGGCAATTCAGGTTACACACTGAAATTCGTTTATTTTCTTCTTGTTTCTCAGCAACTCGGGAAAATCTCCTGGAAATTGGGAAAGAGGGGCTGGAATTCCAAAACTCCGACCACTCCGGACACGTCGTTCGGATTTGGTCGGGGATACTCCGAAGACGCAGCGGTTCCGCCAGCCTCTCTCGTCTCGTTTAGTTCTTCGTCTGCTTTTGTGATCATCATTGTTACCATTTTCTGGACTGGGGCTCAAGTTAAGTTTAGATGCTGGCTGCAATGTTGCAATATTGTCAAGCTCAACTATTTGAAATAGACTCAGACATGGCTGGGGTGAAGGACGAGGTAGTTCGTACTTATTGACTAGCGAGTGGCTGATGACTTCCGAGCTAACCACAAAGCCCAGGAGATCGCGGACCATGCGAGACATGCTCGCATCAAGAACCACACGACAGCTACTAAGCTCATGCCACCAAACGTAAACTTTTCTGCAACGAGGATTCTCAGCACGGCCCCCCAATACTCACGCCGTCTTTTTGCATCTCCTGACCTCATCACCCATGCATCCAAGTCCGAAACACCACCTCCCGTCTCTCCTCTTAGACGGATAACGATTTTCATGCAAGCCCTTTCAGAGAGGGTGGCCTTCTCCGTGGACCTCTCACCTCTGCTTTGATACATCGTCCGACGCATCGCCAACTTCTCCAGCAATCTCGGACGGGACACTTGCGCCGTTCCTCCTTCAGCGCTCTCACGCCGGACACCCTCCCATGTGTTCGCATAACAGGCAAGGCGGGAGTAAAACGCCGGGGTAAGCACCCTGACCTCGACCTCCTTCTCTTCCTCGCCATATTTGATCTTTGACGCCAGGCAAGTCGAGCTGAATACCTCCTCCGTATCCTCTCCATCATTTCGTACCCCGCCTGCCGTGATGTACCGGACGTTCACCCTTGCCCTTGTTCTACTGCCGGCCGCCTGCTGAGCAACAAGGCCCTTCAATAACTCTCGGAAACTGTCCTCTAACGCCCTTTCCTCCCCGGTCGCATGTCGCCCCAAAGTCTTTGTGTCCGCCTTCGGCTCTGGTCGGAACCACACGTTGAGGCCGTGTTTGACATAGAGCATGGCAGCCTGTGCAAAAATGCGTGGGGTGGTGAGAAAACCGACAGGACCCCAAGCAAGAATGAGAGATAGTTTCTGGGCGCTGGTCATGGCAGCCGGGTCAATGACAGGCTGCTGGCGAGAGGAAGCGAGACGGGCAATGAGTTTAGGATGGTTCTTGGAGGAGAGGAGGGTTATGGTTAACAAAACGGGGCCCCGGAGCGAGTTTCTAGCCAAGGGGTCAATGGTGGAGATTGTGTAAGAGCCCTTGCGTGAGTTGAAGGGTGAGACGTGGAAGTCTTTGGGCCAAGACTGTCTGAAGACTATGGTTGTGGCCGAGGCATCTTGGTCAGGGAGCGACATACTTTCAGCCTTCTTAGCTTCCTTTTGCTCGAAGCTTCCTAGTGAGTAGTTCATTTTTGTTGATTCCTTGCATGCCGTCAAGAAGTACATCCTACGCTCGTCAAATGTATTATTGACTTCTAGGATCATGGCTGTCAGGCGCCTGTCGGCGTCATATAGGTACCAGAAGGAGACCGGGTTGAATTGGTAACCCATGAAGCGAGGAGCAGTGATCAAGTAGGCGTATGGGTATGCTGCCGGGTCGAGTTCCTGGCAAAAAGCGGTTGGGAATTTGTTTGGCATTGAAGGCGAAACTAGCCTTAGACAGGAACTTACTTACCTGGCTCTCGAGATAACGATTCAGCCTGCCCCGCAAGCCTAGCCCAGCGTGCCCACGCTCTAGGTAGTCGCCGGACTCGACGGAAAACCAGCAGGCCCATAACGACGTGGGGAGCCATGAGCAGACACCTCGTTTCTTTCTGTGGCCGACCGAGATCAAATTACCAACGCTACCCTCAAACCCTATGGGAATCCCAACTGTAAGGTACGAGTACGAAAAGGAGTGCTTCTTTGGGAAGATGCGTGAGTGAGAAGTTTGACAAGGCAAGAATATGGGCTCCCCATGCAGGCCCCGGTTTCCTATCCGGGCTTTAATTCGTGACTTTTTCCCCTGAAGAAGGATGGCGAAGAGAAGGGCCACAATCATGACCACTATGGTGGCCACGAGGAGGCCCCTCTGGGGCATGTGGTCAAGATATTCAGCAAACATATCCTCGTAAAAACGGTCGAGAACCGGAGTGAGAGTGCCGCATAAATCTTTGAGCGAGAGAAGGAAGCGAGATAGATGGCCGTAAATAAATGGCCTGGTGGGCGGCCGAGAGAGAGGCCGTGAGGAATGGGATGGAGAGGCTTTGCATGACGGCGATGGGATGCAAGCGGCTTACAAAAAACTTCTCGATACATCGCACCTTCCGATTGCGGATGTGAAGCGCAGAAAATCAAGGGAACTGAACACATTCCAGCCCGGTTAGGTGAGCGTTTCTCCCTCGTTGGCGGTTGCCAACCAAGATGAACAACGGTGTTAGTTCTACAGAAAAGGCACAGTATTCCGTATGCATTTTTTGGTTGAAGCTAAAAAATGGGTCTGGACCTTCCGAACCTGAAAACAGCCCCATGGACCCCTGCTTCGCTCACGTGCTCCCGCTGTGTCTCCAGGGTCCACAGCCCCCGGTATGTGGCGCAAACTCCGGGGACCTCGCCGCTCGAGTCACCACCCGCCGCCTGGTGGTCAGTGCCAAGTTCGACGGCCGCCCATCAGCTTCTGCCCGTGGGCCGGGGAGTCCACCGCTGAATAAATCCCCCGCGCCAGCGCCGTGGCAGCACTGAACAGGAATTCTAACTCACAGTGCTTCCACTGAGCCCATCGGCGTCGCCGTTTCATCTTTTTGCCCCATCGCGTGCAGTATATAAAATTGCAAGGCCACAAAGGAACCGCAAATTTGTGTTGTTTTCTTTGTCGTTCTAACACCACAACACCCCAGCCCGCCGTTTCCCCCCAAACCGAAGCGCCTGCGCCGCCCTCGGGCTTATCTGGCTTTCTCCCACACCACCTCCCGCCAACGTTGCTGAGCCCTCCACGTCGAACTCCGACAACCTCCGCAAGGGATAACAACAGACTCATTATTCCAACCACCCGTCACCAAACCACATAAAAACCAATACCGTCAAGATGTCTGCGTGGGATACCGATGCTGTCAAGATTGGCAAGAACGTCCACCGCGGCGGCGCTGCCCCGCGCGAGACCGTCGTCCGTGGGCAGGCTGCTCTGAACGCCGCTCGCCGTGCGGGTAACTCCATCACCACCGAGAAGAAATATGCCTCTGGCAACGCCGTACGTTCCCTCCTTCCCTCTCTCCCTCTCTCCCTCTCTCGCTCCTCCCCATCAACCCCACTCCCCCCCCTCCTCCATCGGGAATCCCTTTCTTCAACTAACAACATTCTCCCCCACATCCAGTCTGGCGGCGTAGAAGGCCAACGCCTCACGATGGTCGACCGGTCCGACGACATCGTCAAGCCCAAGACGGTGGGCGTCGAGGTCGGCAAGGCGATCCAGAAGGCGCGCGGCGAGTTTGCCAACGCCAACGGTAACAAGGGTCTGACACAGAAGGAGCTGGCGACCAAGTGTAACACGACACCGACCATCGTGGCTGGGTTCGAGCGCGGTGATGCGGCGCCGGACCAGAAGGTGCTGGCTGCCATGGAGCGCGTGCTGAACGTTAAGCTGCGTGGGAGCGATATTGGGAAGCCCAAGTTTGAGAAGAAGGAGAAGAAGTAAATTGAGGGAGAGGGAAGAAACTTAGAGCGATAGAAGAGAACTTTTTCTTTTTTTTTCCTTTTTCTTTTTGCCCTTGGTATTCTGTTGCTTCTCTCCTTTTACTTTTGGCTCTTTCTTTTCCGTCAAGCTTGGTTCGGACCCTGAGGTTGAGACCTTTCGGGGTTCGAGGCTCGCTGGCTGGCTACCTGCGAGGCTGGGGAGTGAGCTGCTCAGCTCCATGGCCACAAGCGGTCACTACCCAGCCGAGCTAGCCTTCTAGCGAAGCCACACTACCACCGGCGTCAACAACGGCGACGACAGTAAAGATGGGTGACGAACGGGACGGGCAATGCAGCATGCGTTTTTCATGATTTGGAACGAAGTACAGCGATGATCCCGGCAATTATGCATCATGAAAAACGGCGGCAGCGTTGCACAGGATGGGTAGGGGGAGCAGAGATGAGGACACTTGCGAACCCTGTGGATAGACACAGCTAGCCGATATGGACGAATAGAGAGACCATATTTTGTCTTCAGTTTCTTCGTTTGTTCAACTAAGATACATTTGTGATCAACCCAGCTAATATGTGGGTGATTGAGTGCCTGCAGATTGCTGCAGACAGAATACAAGACATCAAAACACCATGCTAAATATGCAGTTCAAACGCCACACAGACTCCCTCCATGACCCAACCATGACCTAAGCAGCAGGGCAAAGCGCCCCTATAATAAACGACCAAACCTATCCGGTTCCCAAGTATCGTTCCTGCACCTCAAAATGACTTTGCCATCCATACGCCATCCCCCAAACACCTGTCCTTTTTCCTTTCCCGATTAAAATGAATATTTCATAGCTCCCCTGCTTTCTTTGTCTTCGTTTCATTCTCCCATTGTCTTTCCTCTAGGCCAACAGGCCCGCCACTCTCCTCTCTACCTCCGCCTTCGTCAACTCCATCCCCATCAAGCACACCACATTCTCCCGTCCGCCGACCTTCGCGATCTTGAGCCACTCCGGGGCAATCTCAGTTGCCAGCAGCCTGATACAGGCCACGCCATCCTCCGTGGCAATCGGCGTGCGCATCGAGTCGCGCAGTCGGTTCACCAGCGCCGTTACAGCAAAGGGAACACGACGACCGGGCAAAGCACCACCGGGGCCGACAGTAGCCTTGCACAGCATGGCAACAACAGCCGCGACGTCAGACGCGCGATGCAGGGCAGAGCGGCGTTGGATTTCAGCTGGGGTAGGGCCTTGGGAAGAGGAGGACGAAGCAAGAGATTCCTTGAGGCGGATGCGGTCGAGGAGGGAGAGCTTGGTGCCCGTGACGGGAGAGACCAGCGCCTGTTTCTGTTGAACGGCAGCCTCCTTGGCTTCACGGTCCTGCTGGCGCTTGTCGGCGACGCTCTGCTTGAAGGTGGCGAGGATGCTGGTTTGGGTGGTCGCTTTGGGCGCCAGGGCAGCTGCGGACAGGGCCGCGCATGGCTTGAGTGAGGCCTTGGGGAGTGTGTTGATGAACACGGTCTCGGGCGCGTTGTTGTGCCGGGCGAGCCAGAGCGCACGCAGGTTGGCCTCGAAGTGCATCTTAATGCTCAGGTCGTGCAGAGGCTGACGGCCGACGCCGGATGACGAAGGGTAGAACTCGATGCAAAATTTGTCGCGGCCATAGTCTGACAGGAAGTAGGGCACCGTCACCGCCGTAGGCATCGCCGCCTTCTTGTTCTTCTTGCCGCCATGGGAGTTGTTGGGTGTCCAGGCGAGCACACCGACGCACCGCTGGATATCGATGAGCGACACATGGCGCTTGCCCCAGGAGCGCGTGATATCTGAGTAGAGGTCGTTCAGGTCGATGGGCGAGGTGGTATCGGGCTGGGTGCTGAGGGTCTTGAGGAACGCCGCGTGCAGGTCGAGCAAGTCGAGGAGCTCACCGGGCAGATCGAACTCGTTGGGAGGTGCGCGCAGGTGGACGGTGGTCTTGCTCCGCTTGACGGGAGTGGATTGGATGTTGAGGCGCCCGAGGAGCTCTTCGGTCTGGCTGGTCTCATCCGCGTCGAACGCGCGCTTGCGGCCAGAGGAGGAAGGGGTTACTGGTGGTGCGGGCGGGAGTGCCCGGCTGGCTCTGCTGGGGGTCTGTTCTTCCTGGAACCGGACGCTCTTCTTCTTCCTCGAGTCGGGCGTTGCAGGCGCGACGGCGCGGGCTTCGGGCTCGCGATGGCGCAGCTTCTTGGGCGTAGCCTTGATGCTCTCGTCTTCGACTTGGACCTTCCTCTTCCTGGTTGGGAGGACGATCTCAATGTTGGTGCTGATCGTAGCAAAAGGTTCGACGGCCAGCTTCTCCTTCCCAAGACTTTGCGCCTTCGAGGGCTTGGTGAAGCTACCCGTGACAGTTTTGGTAAGTGCGCCGGACGAAGCCAGCACACTGCGCGGAGTCCGCGTCTTACGAGTGATTACACCAGGCATGGTGCTTTCTTGTTTTATGAGACTTTGAAAGTTGTGAGAAGGTACGATTAATGAGCTGGCAGTTGTCAAGGTGCAATTGGGATAGATTCAGCGGGAAAGTCCAAATGCCGTTGTCTTAGAAAGTGGGATGATGTTTGTATACGGAAAGGGCAAAGAAGAAATGAGGAAAGCCTTAGTGCTTTGGACCCTGGGCCAGAACGCGTCGCGCCCACTTTACGCGTCGACGCGACCCGCGAAAAGGGGAACAACCCCGTTTTCGCGACCCGTTCCTTCCTCGCATCCTTGCTCCACAGCTCCACCACAATCGCCAACCCCGGTCAATAACAAGTGAAACCGCCCGAGTTTGCGGGACTTGAGGCAGCAGTGCCATGTGCCTATGCGGGGTTGTTGCATTGTGCAATGGTTTCCAGTTATTGTTGTTGAGCTACAAGTTGCAAGATGGGACTCAGCTTATTGTACGAAGTGCACCGCGCCAATCGAGACAAGGAACGCGAGGCGACAACGGCGGCTCCCTCACGAGGGCATGTTTTCCATGGAGCCCCATCCTACGCATTATTGAGCACATCAATGGGTACTGATACTTCTCGAGTTGTAATATTTCATAAGGTACGAACAGAGTTGTTACCTTGGTACCCGAGTTCTGTTGATTTGAAACTCAGGTGACGGCATTGGAGCACACGCTCATAGTGAACCCTAACCCTCTATGATAAGTGGGCCGGTTCCATGGAGGGGTTCTGGATCGAGGGGGGCACAGCTTGGAGTTGGTCATTGAGGTCCCCAGCTCCAACCTCCCGGCGCAGTCAAATACGCAAAGTAACTCCTAGCCTCGATACTTTCCCCAACCCATACAGATTCATACTACCCAGTTACACGTCAATTCCACCATGACAAATACCGAGATAGCGACGAAAGCGCCGGAGAGCGACGCGCAGGAGACAAGTACCCCGCCCTCCAGCGAGCCATCATCTGCCACTGCGACTACTGCTCCCGCTCCCGCTCCCACTTCCTCCAGTCCCAAGCTGAGCGAGCACTGCACCTCTGATCGGCCGGCTCCTGTCGGTCAGTCCTCAACGGGCGAGATCAGGAAACTAAACGATGTCGACGTCCGTTCTCCCTTGCTTAGTCTTACACAACCGAACCACAACTAACCATACACCATTGCAGGTCTACATCTCCAAACCCGCCGACTACCCCCACGCCCCAGCCCGCCTTCTCCTCCTCCTAACCGGCGGCACCGGCCTGCAGAGCGTCAACAACCAGATCCAAGCCGACCGCTTTGCCAGCGACGGCAACTTCCTCGTCGTCATGCCAGACCTGTTCAACGGCGATCCGGCCCCCAACAGCCGCGCGGCCGCCGAATTCGAGTCCGAAGTGCAGAGCTCCGGGTCTAGTTCCCTGCTGGATGCGTTCCGGCTCAAGGCCGCGGAGACGGCTAAGAGCTTCCTCATCGACATGTGGCTGGCGCGGCATACAGAGGAGAAGGTGCTGCCTCTGCTGGAGCGTGTGCTAGACGGTGCGCGGGACGAGTTTGCGGATGCCGTGACGAATGGGGGTGGGGTGTATGGCGTGGGGTACTGCTTTGGGGCGCGATACATCTTGCTGTTGGCGGCGGAACGGCAGAAGAATGGGCAGCGGAACCAGCAGGGGGGCAGTGGGAATGACGAGGAAGCGAACCGTCCAGCAACAACGCCGCCACAGCTTAAAGCGGGCGCGCTGGCGCATGCGACGATGGTGTCGAAGGAGGACTTTAGCGGCCTCAAGGCGCCGCTGAGTGTGGTGTGCGTGGAGAATGATCCGATGTTTCCCGATGAGGTGCGCGTTGCGGGAGAAGAGTATATGAGTTCGAACGGGGTTGAGCATGAAGTGCAGGTGTATCCTGGCGTGCCACATGGTAAGTACAATGGAGTATTTAAAGTCGTGGTTTGGATAAAAAACGGTTGATGCTAACGACATTGCAGGGTTTGCCGTGGTTGGCGAGTACGACGACGCAAATATCAAAGTTGCGCAGGCCACTGCGTATGATCAAATGCTGAATTGGCTTAAGGAGCATTAAAGGGCGGGTATCAGAGGCGTCATGGGTTTTATTTTGCAAGGGTTCGTTTTTGTTTTGGGTCTCATATTCTGACGATGTTATCCTCGTTCGTCCGTAGGTTTGTATATCTGCATACAACTACCTAGATACTCCAGGTAGCTCAGTCAATGGTGCAAATGATCTTGCCCATCGTCTTGTTCGCCTCCAGCAGCTCATGGGCCTGGATAATGTTCTCCCACGGCAACACTGTATCCACCAGCACCTTCAACTCACCACTCTGAAACCGCGGCAAATACTCCTCTAACCGATCCCGCAGCCGCCCCTGGTACTCCTCATCCCGACTACGCAGCGTGCTACCCTCAATCCTAACCCGCTTATACAACAGCTTCCCCAAGTTCACCTCCTTCGCCGTCGCCCCGCCCATCAACCCCAGCATACAAATCCGCCCATCCCGCGCAATCACATCGATGTTCTTCTGGAAATAACTCCCCCCCACAAAATCCACAATCAAATCCACCCCCTTCCCATCCGTCCTCTTCAAAATCTCCTCCGCCCAGTCCTGCGTCTTATAGTTGATCGCATGCTTCACCCCCAGCCCCTTCTCCACAAACCAGCACTTCTCATCCGTCCCCGCCGTCGCAAAAATCTCGCTCGCTCCCGCCAGCTTCGACAACTGGATCCCCGCGATCGACACCCCCGACGCCCCCGCATGCCACAGGATACTCTTCTTCTGCTTCGGCTTCTCCCCAGACTCTCCTACGGACGGGTTGATCCCGCCCAGCACAAAGTCCAGCGCCTGCGTGGCTGTGATCCACGTCTCGGGGACCCCGGCGGCTTGCTCGAAGGAGAGTTGCTCGGGCTTGTGAAGGAGCATCTTGGTCGACACGGCGATGTACTCGGCGTAGGCGCCGCCGTAGGCTAGGCCGAAGACGGCATCGCCGGGTTTGAAGGCGGCGGCCGCCGCGGGTGAGGCTGGTGAGGGGGGAGAAGAGCCGAGAGAGTGGATGGTGCCGCTGAACTCGACGCCGAGGGTGGAGGGGGCCTGGGGCGGGAGCGGATAGTGGCCGTTGCGCTGGATTAGATCCATGCGGTTGAGGCCGAAGGCGCGGACTTTGACGAGGGCTTGGCCGGGGCCCGGTTGGGGGGTCGGGGTGGATGGGTTGATGAAGAGGGCGGAGGCGGGGCCTTTGCCGTTTTTGATGTCTGAATGGGTAGGTGTGTTAGTGGATTGTTTTGAGCGTGTGATTGGGTTGAACGTCTGAATGACCTCGGGATGAGAAAAAAAAAGAAAACGCACCAACAGCTTTCATGACGGACGCCATTTTGGACGATACGGATGAGAGGGCACGCTTTGAGAGATTAAAGGCCATTGACGAGATATGTTATTGAGGCCGACGACTGAGACTAAGGTTCTCGTCGTCGTTGATATACCTTTTGCTGCCGTGGAGTGGTGAGTGAAGCTTTCACTGAGGAAGGAAAGCTCGAACGGAATTCTGACAAATCCGGCCAAACGGAGGGGCAGTCCATGACGTTCTCCCGGCCCGCATCGCGCCAAGACCCGGCCCATTCGGCCCCGAACGGAGAACTGCGGACCAACGGACTAACGGACCCGGACGGATGATGCACCGAAGGGCAGTTGTGAATGCCTTTTTAACAGCTATTTCGGTGGGTTTGATAAGTGGTATTTCGAGACTTCTTCTACTATGTACACTGTATGCTTCATTCCCACCAGGGTTTTGCTTCCTCTCTCGGCCTCGCAAATACCGCCGGAACACTGTTTTTTTACCGCTCCCGTTTCAATGTGAGGAAACCCTTATTCCCGGATCTTCCGTGTCCCTAGGAATTGAGACCGAACACCAAAATAACCTCGGCATTGTACCCTCACCCGTAGTGTAAACACGGACCTCACCTTCAACGTCCTTCTCCCCAACTTCGTCGAGGAATGAAAAAGAGAAACAAAAACCAACCCGGTTCCATCCCATCATCCAAACATCCCGGACCAGACCGCCCGATCCGTGAGCTCGGCAAGAGGCCGGGGGGTTCTCCTGAGGCCGAAATGATCGGCAGGCCTGGACCCAGCCAGCCGAGCGATCGTGTCAAGGGGATGACGCCTCCCAAGATCTTGGTGAAAAGTGAAAATGAGAGAAAAGGCGGATACGGATATTACGGACAAATTCGAGATCCCCCCTGGGGTTTCGTTGACCGGTCACCGACGTGTTGTTCGGGAAACGAGGGTCTGTTCAATTTGGAAAGCCCAGGAGAGAGAGTCAGGAGGAGATGAGCTGAGATGCGATACGAACTCGCGGCGTGGTCAGGCCAAGGCCCCAAGAGTGAAAAGTTACTGTATTTTTAAACGAGTATTTTTAACTGACTCCCTGGACGTACCGCAGGCAGCGCCCATGCCTCTCTCTCTCTGCTCAGGGTGCATTTCTCGATATCGGGAAGTTTGCACAATCGATCAACAAAACGGCTGCATCTCAAAAACCCGATCATAACGGCTTCACAGGCACAACTTCGTTTCTTTATTTGGCCGCAGCCATGCATTGGAATTCGCTGTTCGTTCCGAAATGGACTGGAGTGATCGAAATTACTGTGTTTGGAAGTCACGTTCGGGGGCTAGCAGCCTGAGCCAGCCCCGTTCCTTGCATTTCGTGTGGAGTCCGTCGATTGGTGGGGCCGTCCAAAGACCATGCATCGGCGGCGGGCGGCCCAGGCCAAATGCAGGTACGCGGTGCGCTGACGCCGCCAGCGTTGCAATCGTCTGTCTGCAGCTCCCCTTCCATTTCTCTCCATCTCGGCTGTCCGAGTTTTGGCTGGACAGATGTTTTATGTCCTTGCCGCGTTTTCACCGTTTGTTTGGAAACAAATTGTGGATTCACGTGCATTCGCGATTGCCTGTGTGCTTGTCCAATGCAAAAATCGAGCCAATATCCCGATATCTAATTGAACTCGTCCCAAATACCAAGTGTCGCATCACAGCCTCGCTCGCTTGACTTGAATCAGGAGACCCTTCGTACCGACACAAGTCACTCTGCCCACGACTCCCTCACTTCTTCCAGATCTGCCGCCTATTGGAGTACCCTGTCCCTGCAGTCCCCCGAAAGTCAAAGCCAAGATGCACACCAGGGAAATTGTCGTCGGCTCTGGGCATCGGCCGACCACTCCCGTTGGCTGCCGCGAAGTCACAGGGGGGGTCGAAAAGCCCCACTCCCTCCTTTTCCACCCTCTCGTCGCTGCTCTTCCATTCTGCCCACTTGACGGGACGACCCCTGGTGCCCTGCTCCAACGCTCGTGATTTGGCCCTTTTCGGCGATGGAAGCGATTTCGAGCCTTTGGCGCGGGCCCTGAGGAAAATTGGACAGGGGTTCTGAGGGGCGCCGGGGTCCGCTTGCAACCTAACCTCAGGGCGAAAGAGAGAGACAAGCGTCTGGGCGGCTCTCTTGTTGTGCCTGGCATTCCTTTGGGTGCAGTTCGCAGCGCAGCGCCGCTCCTTGGGGGCGCGCCGCCTCGATTTGATTAAAACCACCCAATCCGCTCTCACGCACCCCTTGCATAGGCTTCCTCTTCCCTTCCCTCCTTTTTCCCTTCACCCGCAACCACGCTCTCTCGCAACACCAGCGCCCTGACTTTTTAGTCAATTCCATTCGTTCAGAAAACGCCAGACCAAAAGCAACTTGCTTTTACAGTCTTTACGACAATTAAACCTCGCAAACCGGGTACGAGGACAAAAAAACACAAGAAAATAACTCGTCGAATACATCGCGAAAACAAAACAAGGGGTCCATCACCGTTTTAAACAACCACGAAAATGAAGTTCACCACTGTTCTTGCCCTCGCCACTGGCGCCATGGCTACCGCCCACAGCTCGGTTTCCTACACCACCAAGGTCGTCACCGCTGTCACCACTTACATCCCTGCGCCCACCGAGATCGCCTACGGCGCCAACACCTACACCGTCACTGAGGTACGATAGTTTTCCGAACCGAGCCGGGAGCGAGCGATGGGGAGATGGAGACGGAGAACAGGCGTCGAGCGGTTGAGGGAGTAACAAGATGCGCGCTTGCATTTACCTCCCGTGATACCGTTTGCGACATCAAATTCGCGATATGCGGTCGCATCGCTCTGCTCTGTCGAATCTCTCCCGCACATCCGTTGTGCTCGCCCTAGTGTTTCGTGATATGCGCAAAACGCAGAACATGCTCGTTAACAGCCCCGTTTCTAGGCCACTCATCTTACCCTCACCGACGGCCCCTACACTATCAAGGTGCCGGTGACCACCATCACCTCCGTTCTCTGCGAGGAGACCTGGTTAGTCCCCCCCTTGTCTCTTATGCCAGTCATATCTTCCTCAATGACGAATTACTCACATCCCAGCAGCACGGCCACCTACCACAACTCCACCTCCACCTCCTCCAGCCTCGCCCCCTCCTTCCCCCCGCCCTCGTTCAGCACCACCCCGACCGTTACCGGCACCGGCTCGCTCCCCGCTCCTACCGCGCCTGGTGGCCCCTCCGGTACTAGCACCTCGCCTCCGATCGAGACTGCCGGCGCCGGCCGCGTCGCGATGCTGTCGGGCGGTGCGCTCGCGGGTGTCCTTGGCTTTGCGGCGTTGGCGCTTTAAGTTGTCGAGTTTGTGTGAGAGTGACGGATTTGGGCTAAGGCAGTGAAGACGTGTGACCGAGCGAAAGAGAAATGGGGAGACTGGGGAGGACTGGGGAGGTCGTCGTTTGGAGGAGTTCGAGTGTGACGTCGTGGGAATGGTTGATTCCGCACGTTTCGGCTATGGTGTGTTTGGTACCTGTGTGGATGGATGTTGTTGGATGTTGGATTTCTGCGGGCCCCCTTGCTCCGGTTGGCGGACAAGGAGGACCTCCCCGCCACATTTGTTTCCCGTCTTCTGGCGGTGATGCGCGGCTGAAGTGGCGAAGCTTGCCTTGAGTTCGAGATGGGTTGCCACCATGTTGATGCTAGGGCTGGGTATCGCCCTTCTTCACGCCTCGTTAAGACGACGGGAAACACTTCATCTGGATTGTGTTCCGCCCCCTGGGGCCAAATACCGACACTTTTCAGTCCGTCTACCTACCTACTACCCCCTTGTTTTGTCGGGACTTGTTTCCCGATGTACAGCGACAGCTATTTTTTCCTTTGTGAACACGTTTAATGTTTTATTCTCGTAACTCTCAGAAAGTCTCCCCTCGTGGGAGATTTCGTTTTAGTGATTCTTGGATGTCTCATCGTCAATGCTGAGCCTATCATCTTTATGTAGGTGGCCCACGATCTCGCAGTGTGTGATGGTTGAGATGTCATTGAGCATTGTTAGAAACGTCGGGCAAAGTCGTTCGGTGTTCTCTTGTTGAGAATCAAAGCGGAATGTAAAGTGAGCAAACTGGGCGCGAGCGAGATTGACGCGCCAGCGAATATCCATAAGCTTCATTGCTTTGCCATAAGCCTGTTTGCAGGGGAAATAAAAGAGAAGGTAAACATCTTGGTTTGGGCTTTGAATCAGCGACCATTCAATGCTCAAAACTCAAGGTCCCTAAGCGCGGAAGGGAAAGTACAACCAAGTCACAGCACAGACACACCACTTGAGAAAGAGAAGGAAAGCACCACCGGCCGCTTATGGTCAAATTTTCTACGTCTCCCGTCGTCATTTCTAACACATAACTCCGGGAGACTTCATGGAAATGGAAACGCAGCTCAAGTGATGATCGCAAACTCCGTCACTCCGCCGTTGCACCAAGCTCGGCTTACGCAGGCATGTTCGGCAACTCTCAGTGAGCTCGGCCAATAATTATTGGCCCTGACCCTGCGCTGATCCCCCGGACCCCAGGCCGGGGCAACGGAATGCGAGACACGGCGACATTGAGAGGGAATGGAAGAAGACCTTGAACCTGTTGAGCTCAGGGATGCGAGGTGCATGTGCGTCGATAACGTAACTGTAGCTATAAAGCGACCATCCATCATCGGATTTGTCTCCCCATCAACTTGCTATCTTATTTTGTAATCTCCGCTCCCTTGACGTTCACCTGTGATTATTAGACCGAGACAACCATCACACCGCCAGCTTTCGGCGGATTATTCCCCTGACCCATCGCCTTCACTACACAGTAAAACAAAGAAGATCAAACTCGCGTGAACCGGTACATCCCCTCAGCACCATGGCCCACCCTCAGGACCAAGTCCACCACCACTCCCTCACGGACCCAGAGACCTTCTGGGCTCACCAAGCCGAGCAATTGCACTGGCACAAGAAGCCCACCGCGGCCCTGTCCCGGACGACCAAGACCCTGCCCAAATCCGGGATCTCCCACGACCACTGGGAGTGGTTTCCGGGGGGCGAGATCTCGACATGCTACAACTGTGTCGACCGCCACGTCCTGGCCGGGCATGGTGACGCGCCGGCTATTTTGTATGACAGTCCGGTGACCGACACGAAGCAGCGGATTACGTATAGTCAGCTGCTGGATGAGGTCGAGGTGTTTGCGGGTGTGTTGAGGGAGGAAGGGGTGAAGAAGGGGGATGTGGTATTGGTTTATAGTGAGCCCCCGCCCCTTTTACTCTCACTTCCTGAAGTGCGTGTTTAATCAAGTAATTGTGTGTAGTGCCCATGATTCCGGCCGCCTTGATCGGAATCCTGGCCATCAACCGCCTAGGCGCCATCCACGCCGTGGTGTTTGGGGGCTTTGCCGCTGGTGCGTTGGCGCAGCGTATTGAGGCGTCCCGTCCCGTGGCTATTCTCACGGCCTCATGCGGTATTGACGGCAACAAGCCGCCCATTCCGTACAAGAACTTCATCGAGGAGGCCATCCGCATCTCGCCGTGGAAGCCCCCGAAGACCATTATCTGGTAAGTAGACAAGCCCAAGTATGTCTACTCGCGCTGTCGCCGTAGCTCACTGCTTTGTAGGCAACGCGAGCAGCATTTCTGGCGGCCCACTCGCAAGTTGGAAGGCGAGAGGAAGTGGCAGCATCTTGTGAAGAGCGCACGCGCTCGGAACAAGAGGGCGGAGTGCGTACCTGTCAAGTCGACTGATCCCATCTACATCATCTACACGAGCGGCACCACTGGTCTTCCCAAGGGCGTGCTGAGGGAGGCTGGCGGGCATGCTGTGGGCTTGCACCTGTCCATATCGTATTTGTTTGGTATTCACGGGCCCGGCGATGTGGTGAGTTATTATCAGCTCGGAAGGGGAAGAAAAGACCGTTCAACTAACACACGGCTAGATGGGCTGCTTCAGCGACATCGGCTGGGTCGTCTCGCACAGCTACACACTCTATGCGCCCCTTTTGACCGGCGCTGCTACCGTCCTCTACGAAGGAAAACCCGTCGGTACTCCTGATGCATCCGCTTTTTGGCGTCTCGTTGAAGAGTACAAAATCAACACCATGTTCACGGCCCCCACGGCCTTGCGTGCTATTCGGAAGGATGACACGAACAACTCACACATCTCTCGCGTTGGGCAACGTGGCGGGCTAAAGAGTTTGCAGGCGCTGTTTCTCGCTGGCGAGCGGTCAGAGCCGGCCATCATTACCATGTACCAGGACCTGCTCAAGAAATACGGCGCGGATGACGCGCAGGTCATTGATAACTGGTGGTCGTCCGAGTCTGGATCGCCTATTTCTGGCATTTCTCTTGTGCCGCATGTCGGGAAGAATAGACAGACCGGCATGAAGGAGAAGACCAAGCCGCTGGGTATCAAACCTGGGAGTGCGGGCAAGGCGACGCCTGGCTTCGACGTGAGGTGTGTGATCTCCCAAGCGCCCAACCAATCTTGTCAAATATGCAGTGCTAACCTAATTCAGGGTTGTCGATGATGAAGGCAAAGAGGTTGAGAAGGGGAACATGGGCAATATCGTGATGGCTCTGCCCCTTGCCCCTACCGCATTCCGGACTCTATGGGAGGACGAAGAGCGGTTTTATAAGGGATATCTGAAGCGGTTTGACGGCAAATGGGTCGACACCGGAGATGCTGGGTGGATTGATGAGAATGGCTACATCCACATCATGGCGCGGACAGGTACGCTCAATATTCCTAACAATGCTCATCTGCTTGATACTAACAAATCTCCCCAGACGACATCATCAACGTAGCCGCCCACCGCCTCAGCACCGGTTCCCTCGAACAAGCCATCACCTCCCACCCCCTCGTCACCGAAGCCTGTGTCGTCGGCATCCCCGACGCTCTCAAAGGCCAACTCCCCTTTGCCTTCGTCACCACCACCTCCTCCTCCTCTTCCTCCAACAACAACAACACACAACTCCTCTCCGAACTCCAATCCCTCATCCGCACACAAGTCGGCCCCATCGCCAGCCTCGGCGGCATGATCCAGGGCCGGGGCATGATTCCCAAGACCCGCTCCGGCAAGACGCTGCGGCGGGTTCTGCGCGAGCTGCTGGAGAATGGCGTGCACGGGGAGTTTGACAAGGCCGTGGCTGTGCCGTCTACTGTGGAGGATGCGGGCGTGGTGGATGTTGCGAGGGGGGAGGTGAGGAGGTATTTTGAGAGTGTGGATAAGGGACGGCATGGGGCTATTGAGGGGAGGGAGAAGGCGAAGTTGTAGGGTGAGAAACAGATGGGGGGTGAGATTTGGTTGGTTCTTAGTAATTGAAGGATTTAGGGTAAGCACATAGTATTTTCAAGTTAGGGATCTCATGAATACATTATATGAGTTCGCATATTCGACGATTTAGCTTCGGTCTATGATCTCAGTAGTTCAAAGGCGTGGTAATGCAAATGCCTTGCATTGCCCCCCCCCCCCCCCCCCC